ATACGAGAGAGTACTTGAATGGGCAGCTGATTGAACTTCGGTGCATCACATCGCGAGGACAGGGTGACAGGGAGCCATGATGTACGCCCAACCATCAAGGTCACACGGCAGGGATAATTACCTGGTGAAGCAACCGCTGAGAACTCAAGACAGCTAAGTATTCATGATCAAAGTTAGTTGAAACTGTGTATGCGATCAAGTGCAGTAGTTAGTGCAGGCTTAATCGCGAATCTGCGGGTATGAGTATCATGGAATCACACTCAACTTTTTCTTCAGTCCCCATAATACTACTTACTACTTCCTCCTCAGTAATCCCTCGGCCTCGTCCTGTTCCTCGAGCCACCAGCTCTTGAAGATATTTAACCTCTCCGTTCTCTCGCGTGCCATTCTTTTCCCTGGAGAAGTCTTCATCATGCTTTCGAGCCTCACTAGCTTGTCGTCAAAATGCTGAATTGTCTCCCCCATATCCTTGGCATTTTTTGCTCCCCCAAATGTAAACGTCCGGCCAATACCTACAGCCCCAATAGCATCTAATCGGTCCGCGTCTTGCACAATTGCTAGCTCGGGGTACTTTCCAATCATGTTCTCCACGTGTCGGGGGTCCTTGATCTCAGAAGAGTAGGACACAGCCAAGACGATGTGTTGTACCTTGAGAGCTAGATCTTCCGGGGCACCAAAACCAACCAGGGTCGCTAGAACGAGTGTCTCTCCATTCTGGCCTGGTTGTAGATACTTCTTATCGCCCACGTCGTGTAGCAAGGCAGCCAGCGTGATGACATGCAAATCGAGCGATGACTCCTCAAATAACCCCGATTCCTCCTCTGCCATGGTGATCTCGGTGTAAATCTTGTGCGCCAGGCCGACCACCCTCTTGATGTGGTTAAAATCATGAGAGCCGTCATACTTACTCATATATTCCTCCACAAATGCTGTCACATTGGGGATCAACGCCGCGTTGGGAGGGAAGCTCTTCTTCCTGGGCCGCGCCTTCGTTAGGGAGGGCTTCGGAGCTCTTTCGCTGCTCTCTCCATCTGACTCTTCCTTGAATTCGGGATATTTGGATCGTCTACGCATCCCCAGCTTCTGCCTCAGACGAGCCAGGTTCCTGGGCTTGATCTCGAAGCCCTCCGCCAGCAAAGCTTGTGTTATTTGATCGTCATTGAGGTTCTTGTTGTAATGGAACGCGATGCGGTCTTGCAGCTCTTGCGACGCCGCCGTACGCGTCTTCTTACGAGGGACGCCCCATTGTGTCAAGCGTCTGGATATGGTCCGCTCGCTGACATCGAGACCGTGTTCGACGTTTATCCGGCGCGCGATCTCGATGATTGGGACATCCTCCTCGGTGAAGAATTTGACGATCTCGTCCTTAAAAGGCTCGAGAGGCGTTGCTTGAGATCGTCCCCGTTTCTTGTTTACGGAGTCCTGCGTGGGTTCGGAGACAGAGTTGCTGTCACTGGCGGTGGCAGACATGATGAAATATCTCTCTCTTCCTATCAGTGGGCGGATAGATTGCTTTGCTTTACGGATCTTTAGTAGAGGAGGTTGCGGGTTTGGCACTGCGAGGTCCGCCGTAGTCATACATTCTCATGTCCGAGTCAGAAATTCTTACAAATCATCGCCTCACGATCATGCCCGTGTCATGAGCTGTGGCCCATCGCTTTCGCTTGGCAATGTTGACATGTAATCGTCGGCTCCTTACATCCTTACATCCTTACAGTAGCTCAAACTAATCACTAACGTCATAAGTTTACGTCAAAGCTCTACTTCGTTTTCTGATTTGTTTTGACTCACGGTTTCATTATCAGTTCCCATATTCATTTCTGTAAAAATTCAAAAAGTTCAACATTGTCATCTTTCCTTCGAACTACACGGTACAAAATGAGCGATCAAAATAACAAGGCGATGGGCCGTCTCACCCAGCTTAGTGACTTCCTCACAGGTAACAGGACTGCTAGTACAATCCCTTTTGATCCAAACTGTACGAAGTTTCCAGCCAGGAAAGATGTTCCAAGAAGAGCGGATGCTCCGGAAGGAGCGTAAGTCATTTCTTCAATACATTTTGAAATCTGGCTTATAACTCTATTCAGTGCCTGGGTATGGGGACAAAATGACTACGTGAGCTCTTGGGGTAGAGTTGCTGGGGATAGAATTCTAATCTTCCTCAGGTAGGGAGGATTAATCTCCTCACCCCAACAAGAGTCCAAGCTGCCTCGAAGGAAATCAGAACTGGAGACATCGTGCCTCTCAATCTGCCACTGAACGTACCCAACGTTCCAGCTTTCGCTCGAGAGGAATTCAAGCACGAGATCAAGTCAATAGCCGATGGACTTGCCTATGATGACAAGTACCAGCTTAATACGCAATCTGGGACTCAATGGGATGGCTTCCGACACATAGCTCATATACCATCTGCGACATTCTACAACGGAACGACGGGGGCTGACATCGACGGCCCTATCCCGGACCCTCAGAAATGCGGAATTCACCACTGGGCTGAGCATGGTATAGCGGGTCGTGGAATTCTGCTTGACTACTGGACCTACGCCAATGAGCACGGGATTGTCTATGGTGAACATCTCGTCGTATCATCTAAATCTAGTAGTACTAACAATCGTCCCAGACCCATATGACTACTACCAGATCTCATTCTCCGAGCTTCAGGCCTGTGGCAAAGCCCAGGGAATCGACATCCGCCCCGCCTCTCAAGGTGGAGACATTCAAATCGGCGATATACTCTTCATCCGCTCTGGCTTCGTCTCAACCTACTACACCAAAACTCCCGACGCCCACGCAGCAGCAGCTCTCCGCCCCCACGCCGCCGGCAAGGGAGATGGGCAGCGATGGGCTGGCGTTAAGCAGGAAGAGGCCATCATCGACTGGCTGCACGACTCTTACTTTGCGGCTGTAGCTGGTGATGCGCCGGCCTTTGAAGCCTGGCCGAGTCACGAGGAGTATATGCTGCACGAGTATATCTTGGCGCTCTGGGGCATGCCTCTGGGTGAAATGTTTGATCTGGAGAAGCTGAGTAGGACTTGTAGGGAGAAGGGACGGTGGACTTTCTTCGTGACGAGCGCGCCGAATAACTGCGAGGGTGGTGTTTCCAGCCACGGAAACGCGCTGGCGATCTTTTAGCTATGGTGCTCAGATGCAGCCAGTTACTAGGCTGCCGATCAATTTTCACGCCTGGATTTAAGCCTTCCATAAAGTTGATTAAGTCCACCAATTTTCCAGCTCTTTTCCCCCCATTGAATACATATCACAAGCGTACACAATTTTGGCAGCAGACTTTTATCAATTTGTCTACCAGCGGTATGCAACCGGCATCGCCACCACCAGAGGAGTCAAAGTCAATATGTCAGCGGCGTAAGCTTGTTCCTCAAACGATATGCTCAAAATAACTAAATAAGAATAACTTTCCGGTTTAGCATCTTGCCCAGCGTCATCGATATCGGCGCTGATGAGTATGCATTGTGGTACGATCCAAACGAAATACTACTTTAAACATATCAGCCGGTTCCGCCCTAGCCAAACTTCACGCATCTAGATAATGAGGATCTTGGAGAAAAATGTCGAGCTAATTGAAATTTCAAAAGCACTGTATCCATCTACTGTCTAAGCTTACGGAGGAATCATGATTTTGCAACCCCTCTTTTCCCAGCCCTATCTATTCGCGCAAGCTATTGCTGAGTGTTCTTCGAAGGAGCGGGCTGCATACCGCTGTAAGTGGTCTGTCGCTTCAAGCCGATGAGAAGGTCGACAATAAACTAAATAGCAATTTGACTGCGATACGGTCCTACTCGTTGATCGCATTTTCCCACAGTGCTGCGTACCTACCTAGGTATCCATTCCACCTTTCCATGAGCCACGATATCGACTAGCTCGAAGCTTCGAACGCTTAAATAAAACCCCCTCGGCCTCCTCCCCTCAAAATATCCCTCCGGCTTTCTCTTCCCATCTACACATCTCTTCTCCAAATCCTATCCAACTTGAAGCACTATACCTATACTTATGTCCGCCAGCCTTGCAAGTACGGTCCATCAAGCCATGAAAGATCTGGATCCTGCTTTCAGGAAGGACCAGCACTTATCATTTACTGCTCAGGACGACAAGTAGTGGGATTCTGCGTGGAAAGCACGAACAGGTTTTCCCTTGCTTCATCGAGGTCTACTTCGCTACAGCAGATATTGGGGATGGAACAAGTGCAGGATGAAATTAAAAAGGCTAAGAAACTTAAGTCAAGGGCTACCTTATTTCACATTTTACCTCACTAACTGACTTTCTGTAGTCATTAGCGTAAACCTCATGCTCACATATGAGGGCCTCATTGATAGGACTACGATGGGACTGCACGGGTTGGGTTTCTCGATAACTTGAGAAATACGCGAGCGAACATCGGTACGAGGTTCAGATCCATGGCGCCTCGTCGAAGGTTGCCGCAGTGATATCGATGGATTGAGAGACTTTCACTAGATGCAGGAAGTTCCTGGCCCAACTTGATTGATGCAAGCATTGGGAAGAAATTTCAAACGTCTAAACCCCAAAAATAACCCGGCTCAAGTGTGCACCATGCGATAGTTTCACATATCCAATTTGTCGCTCCAAAGGTTCTTCAAGATTTTCTGCAACATGTTCTGGAAATGAGCCTCACGTTAAATCTTGGGCTAACGTCAACAGCAGGCAAACCGAAACATAATAGTTCGATATGGCTTCTCGGGCCTGACAGGACTGGCCAGGACTGTTATAGCTTCCCTCTCGATCTTCGCCTTCGAACTCTACACAGATTTGAACTCCCCGACCCTTCACACATCGGCCTGGATTGACAGGCGGAGAGAAACACCATCCCATTCATACACAACCCCAGCGTTCTTTTCCCTTTACAGATTATCCGAAAGAGAGGGTTTGTATGTATCTTCTTTCTCCACGCTACACATCACCTTCCCGCACCTTGCAGAGCTCCGCTCCGACGTACTCAAATACCTCTCTCGAGCCCTCCTGGGCCGTCTCACAAGCTTAGATTTCACATACAGCCGACACTTAAAGCTTATAAACGCCTTTTTTTTTAAAAAAAAAACCCCTCCCCCCAACCGATTCTTCGAAGCTGAAGATCTGAGAATTATTCTTAGCTCTAACGTATCCCAGAGCTCAGACGAGGATATCACATTGCAGCCGCGGGTTTTGTGCAATATGATTCTCATGTAGCCACGATGATTAGTTCTCTGACTGTGTATCACACCAATGGGTGTGGAAGGGAATGTTTAGGTGTTGCTTTCGAGATTGCTGTTTGGGGATTCTGTCGGGCTGCTTGAGTTGTCGCGCTTCAGAGATCTGAGGGGGAAGGGAAAGAGCTGCTTTTGGCTGATATTCTTGTGGGTGAATAACAGGGCAGTTTTTTGTTCTTAGTTTTTGGACTCCTCGATATTCATTCACCTTTACAATCAATTCACCTGGGAACAAGCAGTTTGGTGGTTTGAGACATGGAGAAGCCCCGGGGCTGAGTTGGCAATATGCCAATGTCATGGAAGCAACTAGTCGAGAGAGGAAAGGTGCTTGCTTTCGTAGGGATAGAATTACATTAACAATACGTGAGTCAAGACTACTCGGACTTCTCGAGTCTTTCTTCCTTTGAAGTTTGATCTGCGAACCTGTAGTGGTAGAGAAATAACTGTGCAGAGTTCGAGTTCGTTTCCCGCGACTCTCGCTTAATCCGTTCTCACCTTTGGGAGACATCGTACGGTGAATTCCTCTGGACGAGACCGCATGCCACTTCTATCTTCTTCCAATTCACCAAGTTTGGGAAGAGAAGCTTAGCCGAGCGCACAACCAATTCTCTATTAGTATTTAAAGTCGTCTTCAATCCGTCCTTGCTCGATCTCTCACACACCAACACACTCAGTCCAGCACCTTCTCTCCACGGCGCGATTAACTTCAGAATCTTCCACGCCCCTAGGAGATATCTCGATCCATTCTACCCTTCCATAAACCCCCAGAACATACCGAAGCAAATAATTCATCCCGAAAAAGCCATGAGCGACCCCGCGTTCAACGAAGAGGGGCGACCAGATGAAGGCGTCTCCTACGGCGTCACCAGCGTCGACTCGGCGACGACCAGCCGCGTAAGTAACAGTCACGCCCCCCTCCCCATCAAGTAAACCCTTTCGCAGCGAAGCTAACGCCCCCTTACAGAAGCGGCACCGCGAGCAATTCCCGGACTCGGACGAGCTCTTCGAGGAGCAGACGCGGTTCCAGCAGATCCGGAAAGAAATCGAGACCGTCTTCCTCGGCGAAGAGGAGCGCAAGTACAAAAAGGTCTGGAGAAAGAATTTTGAGAAGGCCAACCGGCGCGAGGCCAAGATGGACCTGGAGATGGAGAACCAGGTGGAGCTCCAGAAGCGGAGCCAGAGGCTCAAGGAGGAGATATTGTAGAAGCACCCAAAAAGATGTGCTATATAGAAGCCTGGCTCTGAGGCTAGACCTCATGGTCTCACAAAAGAGGTGTCAGAAAAGGTGGGTGGAAAGCTCGTTGATTGTTCTAGCTAGGAGATGTGTGCCCTCTTATAGAAGATGGGTCCGTCTAGTGTGGCCTTAGTGGCCATAGCAGGTACCCCATCAGGCAAGGTGTTTACATCCGTCCCCTCATAGAATAGGTAGGCGCCCCCGCTTACCATCAAGCAAAGAAGAAAAAAAAGGGGGTGTAGAAGAAAGAAAAAAAAAATCTAGTGTACAAAAAAAGGGGGGGGGTATCTTGTCTCCAAACTCCAAACATCTAATCATCCAAACTACGCCTCGGCAGCTTCCTCATGGTCTCCTTCCGTGCTCACGTCCTCAACTCCTTCGTTCTCCTCAAGCTGGGAGGGTCTTCTTCTTTTAGCAGGGCCAGCATTGGACGATGACGTGCCAGCAGCAGCATCCTCAAGGGTGAAAGAGCGCGTGTCGTTCTTGCGCTTGTTAGTAGCATCGTTGATAAGTGTGAACTTGGCCGACGGAGGGTCAGCGAGGCTAGAGTAAGGTCCAGAGCCACTAGTTGGGTCGTCCTCGTCTTCGAGCAAGTCACCTAGGGCTTCCATAGCCTCATCGAAAGCGCGGTCTGAGGATTCCGGTTGAGAAGATGATGCCTTAGATTCGTCGATTTGGCCCGTGAACCGTAGTTCACGGGTGGATTTCGCACTTTCCAAAGTGATCTCCATACTTGAATCAAAGTCGTCAAAGGACAACTCAATCGGTCGCAAGCTCTCTTTAAAATCCTTCAACTTGTCGGCGTCCACAAGGTCGTCAGCTCGGCGGCTTTTGCCCTTAGAAAAGGACTTGGCTCCGTAAGTCTTGGCTTTAGCGTCCAAGACAACAGCAAATCCCTTTCTAAATGCCGAAAACAACTTCTTCTTATGCTTAATGAGGTGTTTTTAGAACTGGGTCCGAGACATAGCAAAGATGGCGGTCAATTCCTCTACTACTCGGGGTTCGTTCCAATCCATTCTTCCGATCAAGGCTTTTGACACGAAACTGACGTGGTCTAGCTAGATTGTGGCGGCGAAAGGCTAGCTTGATTCATTGATGACTCTTCACCGAAAGGTTAGCGGCATGCGTCTTAAGACGATCGTGCAAGCGTGCTTTGCAAAGCTGACTCTATTTTCCAAAGTGCTATCGTTCAGCAAAGCGGTGTAGTTGTTAGAGAAGATAGCCCATCCGCAAGAGGAATTCTAGAAAGCGTCTATGTTTAAGAAAACACCTTGTTTCGTAATAACGGATATAAAAGTGGCGAGATCTATGACTATAGCGAGAGGTTAGCGTAGCGCAATGTTCTTAAGGGCATCTAAAGTCTTCGACTTAGGTCTAAAAGCTTTCTATCGAGCGGTTTTTCTAAGGGTAATGTCGTAAGTGTGGCTTTTAAGTCAAATACTTAAGCTTCCGATCTGATTCTTCACGCCGTAAAGCACCAAGTAGTAGTCTAAAACTCTGTCTTCTACTCGTGAACCACGGTTCACGGGTCGTTTGGTATCAGCGTCGTGTTTGGTCGCAATTACTCGAGCACTATTATTACATCCAAGGAGCTAAAAGGGTTCCGGATAAGCGATAAGCTTATAGTTTCCGTCTCGGCGATTGAGCAAGGCAGCAAGGTATAGCTTATGATAGCTTCGGAGGACTTGCTAGGTTAAGGAATGCACTATGTTAGAAAGTGCACCAATCGGAGCTCCTCTTAAGTCACTAGTCTAAAAGTGGTGGAAGTACATCTAGATCTCTTTGTTCATAATAATAAAGAAGGTTTAGTTGCCGTGCTTGTTGTTTAAGAAAGAAGCTCTTAACATAAGCTAAACTTTCGTATAGCTACCCGTATCCAAGGTGTTAAGGGGGCTGTTCTTCCAAGCGGTGCCCATCAGGCTAGTGCTCCAGTTCAGCTTGTTAAGAGACATCGGCTTGGCTTTGAACTTAGAAGAGCTTAAGCTAGACATTCTCTTGGCTAAAGTACTGCCTTTAGTCTTAATAGCGAACATCGATTAGTTGCTCGGGTGAAGCATGAAGTTGTTAAGAGCGTTGGTTTAGAAGGCCTCGATGAATCGATATAAGTTAAAACGGATCACCGTTGTTATAAGGCCTTTCGTAGCTAGCTTAAGGTATTTAGCGTATTCGAAAGTGTAAACTTCGCAAAGGACTCTTTTTAATAAGTCGGTAGCGGACGGTGAGACTTTGCGGCTGAAGCGGAGCTTCGTTTAGACGTCCAAGTCAAAGAGTTCCTTAAATCTATCCTCAAATTCTAACACGTTCTTCACCTCTTAAGAGACCCTTGTGCAGTCGCAATCGTCGTCGTTAAGGCTTAAATTAAAGATCTCGGATAGCAAGAAGTAGTTCATTACCTTGCTTCTTTCCCTACTTACCCCCACTTAGCTACGACGGTCGAAGAGTTGTAAGATCGCGTTATCAGAAAATTCGTCCTTTAAAAGCTTGCGGATCTAGCTGACAGCTTTCTTAATTGATTCCGCGGCAACTTAAGGAGCATTGTCGATATTCTCGTCCAAGTTCAAGCGGTCGAAGGCTGATTAGTAGAAGTCTTAGCAAAAGTTGATGAGGGCCACGTTTATACTTATGAGGTCCTTAATCTCGACGAGTCTTAAGCAGCGGTTCGACACAGCTTTAGCTAGTTCGTACTTAAGGTTATCTCCTTTTTCAACGGGTAGTGCTAGTAGCAGCTGGTTCTCGAGAGGGTCGCGTTGCACTTCAAGTCCAAGGGCTGCAAAGGAGCTCGCGTCGATGGACTTGCGTAAGGTGGACATGATCGAGGCAACTAGTTTAGCGTTCGAGGCTCTATTAGCAAAGGATGACGTCGATCTTTAAGACAAAGCTAGTGACAGCGAAGGGCGCGCAATAGGTGATCTAAGCAAAAGGGTCCTAAGAGTAAGGGGTTGACTTAATCCTGCTTCAATTGCTGAGTCATCCTCCACTCGTGAACTATAGTTCACGAGTAGAGTTCCGGATTCGGGCTCTTCTTGCAAGACGAAATTCCAAGTCTGATTCTCGTCGGCGAACTTTATACGTTCTTTAAGCTCGTCGTATTCGCTTTCAATATTGTCGAAAGCCAAAATCAACAGGCCACATGATGAGACCTCTAGTCCTAGCTTCTTTAAAAGTCCTTCGTCAAGAATAGCGATCTTATCTTTCCACTTGATGTTGTTCTTGTCTTCTACGGTCTAGCAGATAAGGTTGACTACCGTAGCATTGAGCTTAATAAACTTGCGTCCTCGAGCTACATTAGCTATAGTCTTCTAGAAGGCGACGTAGGCAACAATATAGTAGTTGATGACCTGGATAGCGTAGGCGTTAAGGGTGCAGTTCTCCAGGATGACGCCTAGTTGGCGAGCGCTGCGGACTAAGGTGCATACAGCCTTAAGGTGGTCGTCATACAGCAATTAGCCTCGAGCGCCGTCGAAGGCTCTCTTGATTCGTCTGTGTCCTTCGGCGTTCTTATTGCGTAAGGAGTGGATAGCGGTGACTCTAGTAGTAAACTGGTCGTAAGCCGAAAAGAGGTCCTCGGCGTCTATGTTCTTTCTTACGCATTCGATCCGCAAGAATTAATCGTACTGCAAGATCAGGTCATCTTCCTTACCCAATCTGTTATTGAAGTCGGAGGTTGCTACTTTAAGCATAGCTAGTTGACTAGAGTTGCTCATTTAGCGGTAAGTCTAGAGGAACTCATCGAAGGTCTTAGTGACTCGTCCTTCGAACTTCAGCTCGAAACTCGATTGTCGGGCTAAAGCGGCTTGCTCTTCGCTCATTAGTGGGCTAGAAAGTGCATCACGGACAAAGGCTTTTCCTTTGGCGGCGGCCGACTTAAGAAGCATATTTGACTCGTGAACCACGGTTCACGAGCTAAATATAAGATAGCGGAATAAGGGCTGATAGTAGTGGTGATTGACTGAGTGATGATTAAGGTCGTTAGTGTTAGTGTGATATTGTGTAATTGTAAAGAAGGGTAGTAGTAGTGTTGTTGTAGTTGTTGTTATATAAAGAGAGAAAATGTTAAGAAGAAGGAGAAGGGAGCTTTTTTATATAAATACATTTGTGAAGAAGACCTACTTTTCTTAATAGCAGTTCACCTTCGAATACACGTGGTTAAGCACGCTTAAAACAAGGGAACAGTTTTAAATAAGAAATAAGAAATAGCCGTGTAGGCCTAAACAAGTGAAAAACAATCAAACAATAAGAACAATTTGTATAAGACAAGTGAATAGCTAGTAAAGTAAGAGGAACAAAGAAAGAACAGAGAATATAATGAAAGGCAGGTCTAAAAGTGAAAGAACAAACGTAAGAAATACCTTTCCTACTAAAACAAAGAGAATGATCATTAAGGGCACGTCCCCTTATAGAATAGGTATAGAACAAAGAGAGGATAGGAAAGTAGGAAAAACAAAGTAAAGGAACAGACTAAGAAACAATTTTATAAGCCAGTTTTTGTTCCTTCGAGAGTGTTAAGGGAATGATTTGGAAGTTGGTAGACCTGGGTCCAAAGGTCACCCTTAGGTTGAGTAGTTCACCTTTGCCGTCGTCGGAGAGCTCGTATTCGCTAAGGTCTGAGTTGTCCGAGGAACCCGAACCCTCCTCTTCTTCTTTTTCGTCGTCCTTATCAAAAGGAAAGAGGGTTTGGTCGCGGCGGTAGAATCGCTTAAGGCGGTTAGCTGCAAAAGTGCCTTTGAGCTCAGTTCCATCGGTTTCCTAGAGTTTGTAATATCCTTTGTCGTAGGCCTTAAAGACGACATAAGGTCCCAGCTACTTGTAGTCCAGCTTAGTATCCGCGGACATGTCGATGCTGCGTTTGACGTCGTAGAGCAGTACCAGATCTTTCTTTTTAATAGGTTCCGATTTAAGGACCTTGACTCGTTCCTAAGTGGCTTTAGCGGCAAGTCGATAGCGCTTTTTCCTCAAAATGATCTCGTCGATATCTTCGTCTCGAAGTTCCAATTGTCTAAACCTCATAGCAAGTAAGTCAGCGCGGGATCGAACCTCTTGCTATAGCAGTATCCTTTAAACTAGCCATCGTGATTCCAAAGGTAGCTCAGCCTTTCGTCCGTAGTTCAAGAAGAAAGGGGTAACCCTAATAGGTGCGTATATCGATGTCCGGACCGCAAAGAGCATCCTATTGAATTTGCGAACCCAATCCTTGAATCCTTCGTTTGTGATCTTCGATAAGCTATCCAAGATGTCCTTATAGCCTTTCTTAATCATCTTATTAGCTTTTGAATTATAGCTCGAGATTTAGACCCTCTTGATCCTATACTTAGTAGCGAAGGCCTTAGCAACTGCTTTGTTTTCGGGTCCCTTATCGATAGTTAGTCTCCCGAATAGTCCGTAGCGGTAAACGATATCCTCTTAAAAGAACTTAGCAATAGATTCGGCGTTAGCTGATCGAAGTAGTCGCCCTTCTAGCTATCCAAATAGATCTTCCTTAGCTAGTACGAAGCAGGTCATCCTTTTATCGATGGTAGGAACTCGTGACACGTCTAAGCTGACTTTTAATCACATCTGAGTAGGCTAGGTCGAGTACAAAGGGTTTTCTGTTCGTCTAGCCTTGCGTTTCTGACAAGGCTCACAGTTCTAAACGAAGGCTTTGCAATCTTCGTAGCATCCATTCCAAAAGAAGAGTTTTGATATGCGATAGTAAGTTGATTCGGCTCTTTTATATCCGGATTCTCGGTAAGCGTCGGAAATAGCAATGTAGCGTTTTTAGGTTCCGTCGACAACCAGCTTAATCGAGTAGGAATTGTCTGCTCGCTTATAAAGGTAACTATCTCTGACCAAGTAGTTGAGTGCTTTGTTCTTGAATATCTAAAAGTCGTAAGTCTTAATCGAGGGAGGGCGTTTAAAGGTGGTAAAGAATTAAGCAATGAGCTTTGAGTCGAGCGAATAGTCGTGCTTTAAAACTCTTTTTTTGGCCCGTAAACTATAGTTCACGAGTCGTTTAACTAAGAATACTAAAACAGTGCTCAGCTCGTTAATAACCTAATCGTCAATATCTTTTTCCTCTCTCTCTTTAATATCTGAAAGATGCTCCCTTCCTTTTTTAAAAAAACCGTCCGCTGTTATGTTTTTAGTCTCAAAGATATACTTGACTTTAAAGTCTATTAATCTCATCTACGCAATCTAGTTCGTAACGAAGGCTTTAAGCAAATCGCTCGCTGATTCGTTGAGTTGATTAACTAATACCTTAGCGTCGGTTTCTAAGATAAAGTGAACCCCGTATAGTTCGCTCCTTATCTTTTTCATAGCTTTCAAAGCACCGCGGCATTCTCGCTTGGTCGCGTCGTACTTGCTCTTCGCAAAGTTCCAAAGACCACTTTCGAACCTGGCAAGATATCGCTTCTTGTCGGAATCTTCTTGCTGCAATATTGCTCTTTATCCTTTAAGACTAGCGTCTACCGTCAAGTAAATTTTCCTTCTTTCTTTGCTATAGTCGATCTTAATAAGAGCGGGAGCAGAGAGCAAGGCTTCCTTAAGCAGCCTTATCGCTTCTTGCTGAGGCTTTAACCACTCGAATTCGACCCTCTTTCTTATAATCGCGTAGATTAAGGCAGCAATTGTAGAGAAGTTTTTAATCTAGATTCTATAATATACTACGATCTTAATAAAGGCTCGGGCTTCCGATACATCCTCGCACTTAGTCTATTCTAGTATCTTCTTAATTTTAGCGGTTTAAAAGTAGCGTCTTTCGCTATCCGTAACGAATCCAACGATGTTAAAGCCGAGCATGCAGTATTAAGACTTAGTTCCGACGGTCGTCCTAGCTCTTTTAAACCTTACGAGCATCTTGTCGATGTTTTGTATGTGTTCTAAGACGAATCGTCGAATTTTAAGCAAAACTTCTTCGTAATTGTAAAAGGATCGCGATCCTTTGACTTTTACGTCATTTATGTAAAGCAAGCAAACGTTAAGAATGCAGTCTATGAGGATCTTGTAGATGACCTTAACGAATTAAGCGATCGAATTAGTAGCTCTTATAAGTATCCGAGTTATCCGAAGCAGTCTGATAAGCGTTTGAATAGCTGTCATGTCCTTAGACTCAACGTCGAAGAAGAATTGATCGTATCTAAAAAAGAAGTCCAAGAGTGTAGCTATCGTAAGACCGGCAAATTCGTTCGAGAACTGGTCTACGTTCGAGGCAATATTAACGTCCCTGACCGTCATACGGTTCATCTTAATTACGGCAATGATCAGCTTGTATTTTCTTTTCTCTTTCTTTGCTACAATGAACCACTTGTTCCGGTAAGGGCCTTAGCATGGTTCGAAGACCCTTTGCTTTAATCGTTCCTTTAGCATAAAGATGATTATCTCTTGCAAAGCCTTCGGTATCGTAAACGTCTTTTCTTGCCAGGCTTCGTAAGGCACCGTCTTGATCTTTTAAGGTGGCATGACTTTCTTCCGGACCTAGCCAAGATAAGTAAAATCTTAGGCTATCGCTTCTTCTCGATTCAAAAGGCATTAATAAAGCAGCTCTCTCTCTTCCGAGGTGACTTGAGAGCTAATCGTAAATGCTTCGAATCGTTCTTTCGTCAATCTTGATCTAACCTCTAGGTCTGAAAACCTGCTAATAAAGTATTTCGAAAAAGGTCTTCTAAGCTTAAAGGGTCTCGCCTTCTTATCTTGCTCAAACCAATCGTCGATTCCTTTAAGTATCTCTCTATCCGATACTCCTAAATCCACCGGTCTAACCTTCTCCGCTTTCTTTTTGTATATCGTATTAACCTCTATCACATTCCCTCTTAAAGGGTCCTTATCGTTATCGATAATAAACATGAAATTTTCCGATTTGTCGAGTTTGATTGCAAATATTTTTAGTGTTTTTGATTTTAGTAAGTCCTGCTTAATGTTAAGTTGAATTGTTTTTTTGTGATTTTATTGTTTTTGTGCCGATCTATTCGTAAACCATGGTTCACGGGCGGAATTTCCTTTTAAGCTTCCTTCTAGCTCAGCATCCATCTTAGCTTGCATGCTAGCGACTAGTTTCCCGGGTTTTCGACCAAATCCGACTTGTCTCTTGCAATAGTAATCTAGCCTTAAGTAGATCGATTATAGTTCTAAAAAGAGGCCTTTATCGTGCTATTATCGAAGTAAGAAAAAGAGAGTTAGGATTTCAAGAAGAAAGGCATGCCCAAGATGACCTCGTGACTGCTATTATTAATAATAAAGAAATCGGCGTAGTTAGTGATTCCGCCGATAATGACCTCGACGTCGTTTATCCACTTATCGAAGTTATAAAGATCCCCGGACACGGTAATATAAACTAAAGCTCGATCCGTCATGATAGGTAGCTTAGCTATTTCAGCCACCTCTTTGTTCATCACGTTGACCTCAGATCTACTATCGAAGAAAGATCTGCTCTTGACTATACCGTCGATATTAATAAAAACTTTTAAGGTCTTCATCGCTACCTCGAAGTAGTTGCGGGCGATAGGTTGTTTGCGAATTTGCGTCGCTAAAAGGTCTAGCTTGCCTTCTTCATTCCGACCTAGACGTCTAACAGTTAAGGCGTTCACAAGAATAGGCTTACTTTAAAGGACCTCCACGTTTTCCTCAGCATCGAGAACTACTAGAATGTGGTGGCCTAATAGCCTGTCGAAGCGAGAGCTAAGTCCGAACAAGTCTTTAATCTAGACCTCGATTCTCGATTTTATAATAGCCGCTACTGCTTTTTCTTAAGCTTTAATAGTAACGTAAGGGTCAATGAACTTCTCTCGTCTATAGGTCCTCTTCTTCCTTCCTCTTAGCACTCGCTAAGTGATCTCAACTTTTCCTTCCACATCTTCTATAGCCTCGTCGGCTCTAGCTAGTCCAAAAAACTCTTCCCCAATTACACTATCGAACAACCCATCCTCCGAGTCTATCTCCACAGCAGTACCCGATTCCTGAGAGGCACGGGCCCTAAAGGTGCCGTAGTTCTTCTCTCTCTGTTGTCGGACATTCTTCTTGATCCTAGTAAGCTTAGATCCTTCCGAGGGCGGAAGAGGCTTCTTAGCTTTGTCCCTTGCGGCGGCGTTGATCTTGACCGAGGCAACCTCTATGCTAAATAAGTGGCTAAGCGTATTGATCTACCTCACAGCATTAATGTTCTTAATGTCGACTAGTCTTTTAAAGATAGTAGTAAGCTCTCGTAGCTAGTTAGTTGGTTGCTAAGCATTTTGATCGGGCTGATACTAGGCTAACTGTTGGATTGATTGCTAATAAGAGAGCAGGTGTCCATAAGTCCTAGGTCCGCTAGTAAGTCGATTCTCTAAGATGTTGTCGTATTCCGTCTTACGAACGTCCAGCACAATAGATCTAAACCAAGTCTTTCCTTGCTTCTTCTAGATGATAAAAGCACCGATCCTCTTAGGTCCTAAGCAAAGGCGTCCGTAATCACTAATATGAATACATCCTTTATTAATCATGTTTTTAAAGGCCTCACACTTATCCCGGTATTGATAAGGAGCTTGAGTTGTGTCCTCGGAGTTCTCGCAAAAGCTATAGTCTTGCATCTGGTTCCCGTATCCTTTACCTCCTCTTCTTCCTCGTCCTTATGGTCCGTAGCCGATAGCAGCAATCTGAACTCTACTTCCGAAGCTGACTTTACTTCGGGCATCTTGAGCGGTATACTTGGTAAAGGCTTCGTCGTAGTCTTCGAATCGAACTTGGGGCTGAGACTAGATAGGACGTCGGGAAGTTAAGTTGGCGACTTGGTCCTCAAGGTAATCAATTCGACTATAGATCGCACCGATCTGCAAGTTAGAAAACTTCTTAATCATAGAACCTACCTTGTTAATTCCCTCTTTTTCACTCGTAAACCGTAATTCACGAGTGAACGGCACTATTACTAAGGCTTTCTTAGCAGACTTAAGAACGCTAGCTAGCTCGGTGTGTTCCTTGACCAAGGTCCGAATATCTTTAGTGAAGTTAGCTAAAAGAGACTTCTCTCGATTTATAGCTTCGATAGTCTTAGCACTCTGGTCGGTCTTAAAGGCGAATGCGACGAAGTCGTCGAAAGCGGCATAAGAGTCTAGGTCGAGCTCGTCGACTTTACAATGCTTGATCGTCTTGTTTCGGATTCCGACGGGCAATCCGAAAAGAAACAAGCGGCTTTGTTCGGTCTTGCTTAAGAGGTGCATTAAAGTAAGTCTTTCGGAGACCCGAGAGAAGGTGCGACAATAGTTTTTCAAGTCATTGACATCCCGTTCTTGTATAGCAAATTCTCGCAAGAAAGCGACTAAGTCCCTGATCTGCTAAGTATCGTTTTTACGAAATTCGGCTCTTAAGGCCTTGACGAAAGCAGCCTAATCTTTCTTAGCTTTCCATTCGAGCAAGCTCTTGATAACCTCCTTGCGAAGGTTATCGCAGTAACGAAAGAGTTTGACAAACCGATCGTCTTAAAAGATACCAAAGTCCTTACAAGTCTCTTCGTACTTCTCGATGAAGTCGGTGATGTTAGCACCACTAAAGCAAAGAGCTCTTAAGGCACTTAGCAATAGCATGCGGGTAGTTATAAAAGCGTAGAGGATAGCAAGGTCGACTATAACTAGCGCAAGGCCTAGTAGAAGAGCAAGAGGGGCAAGAAGAAGAGGAGTGGTATAGATCTTAAGACCGGTGTTCATTTTAAGAAGCATTTCCGAAGCAAGTGTTTCCGATGGAAGTAGAGGTAAGGGTTCTGGTTGAAGATCGAAGTAAGATGAGGCTAGTCCGAAGCCTACAAGAATACGACCAAGGGATTCAATAAATTCAGAGGATTCTAACGAAGAGAGAAGTGACGCGGCGCCGACTTCGATGTCAGAAATCTCAAGAAGGTTTTCGGTATTTTAAGGATCAGACATGTGTGTGTGCTAAGAATAATCGGGTTGATGAAAGGTTTTTGAATTATTTGATTTTGACTCGTGAACCGGGTTCACGAGTAAAATAAGCGATTTTCGCAAGGTATTCTCGATCCGAGATTAAAAAGAGTAGACCCTTTGCAAAGGTAAACTAATAGTTAAGATCAGAACCATGAAAAACCTAAGAATCAATTGATTAGCCTCGCTGACAACTCCGAACCATATCAATTGCTCTAATTCAAGATGAGAGCTAAGGTATGGAAGGATATTTTCATTAATAAGTGAAAATTCTTTCTTATTAACAATAGAAGAGAGTTTTTGCCGAAGAGCCGAAATATTGCACTTCGGCCATTTCGGCATTTCGGTGTCCGAACCCATCGGGAATAAGGTTTTGATTGTTTTGAAGTTGTAATTATAGAGTGAAGTGCTGAATGATGAACGAAGATCAACTTGACTGCGAATCAAAAGATTATAATAGGCTGTATGAAGACAAAGACCAAAGGTTTAAATCCTTGCGTAGGTCACCAATGTAAAAGCACTCAAAAAGATGTGCTATATAGAAGCCTAGCTCTAAGGCTAGACCTCATGGTCTCACAAAAGAGGTGTCAGAAAAGGTGGGTGGAAAGCTCGTTGATTGTTCTAGTTAAGAGATGTGTGCCCTCTTATAGAAGATGGGTCCGTCTAGTGTGGCCCTAGTGGCCATGGCAGGTACCCTATCAGGCAGGGTGTTTACAATATGCACTGAGATCTTGGCGGAGTTGGAGAGGGAGAAGGAGAGGGTTAAGGAGCTTAAGGCGCGTTTGAAAGCTGCGCGGAAAGAGATTGGCGAGTTGAAGGCCGTTGCGGCAAAGGGGCTTACGGGTGGGGAAGGAGAGGTGTCTAAGGATGGTGGTGGTTTGGAGGCAGGAGTGATCGTTATTGACGATGAGGATGATGAGATCGATGGGGACGTAGATGATTACGAGGATGATGACGGGAGTGAGGGAGAGGGCGAGGATGAGGGCGAGGATGAGGGTGAGGGTGAGGAGGACTGATACTGTGCCGCGTCTAAACTTCTGAGAGCTGGTGGTATTACTCACGGCGATGCTTTGGGCGACTTTAAAATGAGCTTGGTGGTAAATGGTGGGCTGCGGTTGGTCATCGAGAACCGGCTTGGCTTTGTAACTTCTCACTAGAGTCAGCTTACTCGACAAATCACTCGTTCATTATGCAGGTATTGGCGTTTTATCAGCGAAAGCTGGTCTCTGGTAGGTATTGCAATGTGCCAGTATCATCATATCCTCGAGTGTTCCATGCTTCTGATATGATTCAAAAAAGAAGCGGTTCGCGAGCGGACTTTCGAATGGCCTCTTGCATTTACTCGATCCATTCAAGAGCTTGAAATGAGCTCAAAGATTCAGACAATGATTCAGACCCATGTGTAACCCTCGAGTTCGGAGTCCCAGGTGACTCTACTCGTATCCCAGGTGTATCCAAAAAAGTATTTAACCTCTGGGCTCATGAGAGGAACGCCGAGCTTCTTCACAAGATCTCTTCTCTTTTATATCAAACTCTACACCAAACACCACAACGGAAAAACATGATAGATGAACCCGTCAAGTCCAGAGGCTTGGACTCGAAGAAGGGGGCCAAGAGAGACCGAGAGAAGGACCAGAAAAGAGATCCCAAGAATCGCGACAAAGACACAAAGCGCGAAGGCTCTCAAACTCCAAGCGGTAAGGGGTCGCTAAACAAGGTCAAGAAGCACGATGGTAACTTCGAAGATATCGCGAGGTCCGCGGTGCCACGTAGTAGCGCATTCCGAGATACGCCTCGAGTTTCGGAGCCCATTAAGAAGAAGAAGCAGCATAAGCCACCTCTCGAATTCGAGTCTGTCATTCCGCCCAAGCCGCCGGCTCCGACCCAAAACACCCATCGGCAACCGATGCACGCAGCTTCAGCTTCCACGTCGTCGGCCACCAAGATCATGACGGCGTACACCAGCCCCCAGGACATCGAGATGGCAGAGAGCCAACTGCGAATCCAGAGCTTGCATGGCGAAGAGCGCGTCCGACAAGAGAAGTGGGCGATCGAGAAGCTATCTCACCACGGCGCGTGTCCCGCGGGATACAAGTGGCATCCTTACAACAAGGGCGTGGATACGCGTGGTAGGCTTCTCGACGGCTATCGCTGTCGGGGTGGGAACCATATGATTACCCACGCCATAGTGGCTGGCGGGAGGAACGACTACTATTGCTCCGCCGCGAACCTGGCGTTCCTGGTACAGTTGCAATGGCAATGCACTGCTCTCAGTCCCCTTCAGACGCCGCCGCCTATGCGGTACCCTGGCATGCAAGCACCTTTGGGGATGATCATGGTCCTTGGCCAGCAGCAGTTCCAGCAAGTACAGATGCAGCAGCCGATGCATTTTATTCAGCAGCCTGGGCAGCCTATGTACCTCATACAACCTGGGCAGCCTACGCAACTCATACAACTCATGCAGCCTGCTCAAGTTCAACCTCCCCCTCCTCCTCCCCCTCAACTCCCACAAGCTCCACGGCCTCCTGCCGGCTATGACCTCTGGTATGGCCCCTTTCCTCTGACAACGACAGAAAAAGATGTACAAAGAAAAGCGCAGTCAAGAAAGCACGCCCAAGATCAGGGCGCCGCATTCGCTGCCTTTCCAGCAAATGGGTGCTCCCATCACCACGGTTCTGGCCCCAGGTGACGCCACAAATACGAGGATGCTGAACTACTTCAACGCCACTTATTTTCAATTTTTATTGAGAGAGAGTCGAGATACCAGGAGAGTGAGCGCAATGTCGTTGAGATGTGTAGTGTGATTGAAAGAGGACGCAATGAAATTCATGATTTTCTGTAACATAATAAAGCGGGAATGTGACTGACTGCATGTTTACTTCTCGCGCTACTACGAGTTATCTGCCAGGCTTGCTGTGAATGCCTATGAATGGAATACGAAGGATAGATTCTCGTTTTCCACGCCATCATGAATTTACACCTCGATTTCGAGCATCAAAAAACATGGTAAGTCAAGAAAGAAAGGTCAAGCTTTGCTTCAATGCCTATCCATACATAACGAGATTAAGCCAGAACTGACTGCGATCCGTTCACTAAGGAAAAAGTTGTGATGTGATTAAATATTGAGCTAAGAAACAAACAGAGCTAGCAACGCATATAAAAATAAACACAAGACGAAGACAAAAAGCTACGGTATAACACCAGACAGGTACCTAGACAAAAGCAGAAAGAAAGAAGAGGAGGACCATACCCGTAGCATATTATATCAGTAATAAATAATACCATCTATCCTTTGTTACTTAGTAACTTATTTACTTACGTCTGTCGTCATTACCCAGTCCGCCCAATTGCTACTTATCCCCCCATAAAAAAAAAACTCCAGTAAATCTTCTTCACGAATGAATACAACACCAGATTCAAAACGTCCCCGTAGATATCCATACTTTTCGCTACGTAACAAGGACGTAAGTCATCGGCTCGTAACAAAAAGTCCTCATATCCCCATCCCCTTGGCCTGAAAGTCTCGGTAAGTCTGCAACTAAAGCGCTCCTCAGTCTACCGAAGGAGCTCGAGTCTCAATATACCTGACTTGTAACACAGGACCAAACCTCAAGGCTTTGACTACCAATCATTGTAATACCTATCTGTACCAAATTCGAGGGTCTCGTAGCTGTGAAGCTATCGGATCTAAACGTGCCAGTGTGTGGAACCCAGACCCTTAACTGTCCGTTAATAGATCGATCCAGTGTTGAATTATTTTGATCAAGTCGTAACTTAAAAGTAAACATGAAATTTTTATGACATAATTTTGCTGCTGAAGGGGACTCTCGTGAAATATCTGCGTTGTATACCTATATACCATCACAACGACCATAAAATCAAACGCGCTTTCTCTCCCTTTCCCGCAAACTATGCTTCATACAAAATACAACCAGACACAATCCACGGTGTACTCCGCCCAATGCATGAATGTTTACTCTCATATCCATATCCATTCTTCCCTCTACCCTCCATTCCCTTTGATAAGTATTTCGTATTTCCTCGTATCTCGTCGTACCTCGTTCGTTTCTTCCCTCTCAAGACCACTTGATCTCCCCACTCGGTTGTCGTGCCCTGCGTTTCGAGTTGAGTAGGGGCGCTGTTCCGCCATTTGCAGGCCCAGGTGCAGACGAAGCTCCAGAACGTGATTGAGGCCTCGTAAGACGTACACCGTTACCGTTCTCTCTTCGGTTAGATGCTGAGGTCGATGTTGGTCCATCGCCGCCCGACACGTTAACCAACGAGGACTTCGATCCACGGGCCATGGATGTACGAGGTAACCGGCTTTTTCCCAATGAAGAGTTGTTGGGCATCTCAGCGCTCGTTCGCCGAACCGTCTGAGGACCCTCTCTACTTCTCGGGCGGTAAATCATTGAATCGGTGCCGCTAGACGGTGCGGCCATGCGACGGGGTGTTACGTTTCCTTCTATAAAAGTTGATTTTGACCGGTTCATGTGAGTCGGTGTGAGGGGCATCGATGCACTGTTTTGTAGTGAAGGCGGTGTGAATGTCCGCCGAATCTGACCAGGACGTGGGCGAGCACCACTTCCACAATCCGAGTCTCTGTCCAGATTCGCTTTTACGAGCTCGCTGGCCATGTTTCGCACCAACACAGCATTGTCGCCGTCGGCTAGACGCTGAATGGCCTCGAATAAACCGTGGTTCGGGACGTTGCCAGCTATTTCGTCACTTGTATCACATATGCTGCGGACGATACGAAGCAAATTCAATCGGACGACTGCCTTCTTGTGGTTGAGTTTCTGGAGAATGCCAGAAAACATATCTGATCGAGCAAGGGAGGCAGCGATAGGTGAGCTGAGTCGGAGAAGCTTTTGCAGCGGCTCGAGAAGATTGTTATCGAAAGCACTCGCTCTAGGTGCATTAAAACACTGGACGATAGCTTCTGTAAAGTTACCTTCGAGTAAACATTTCTCGACCTTGGCGGTCTCTTCTTGAAGCCTTGCATCCATGTCAGTAAGGAACGGAGAAACAATATCGTGAGACGTACCATATAAAAATGGCATCCAAGGCCGTGACCTGCCAGTATTGGTCTTCCAAAAGCGTCACATAAAACTGCAGGCCCTTGTTTTGCCACAGATATTTTCTTCCCACCTTTCCAGAATGAGCCATGTCACAAAGGATAGGTAGTGCGAATTCCTTCGGCGGTCTCTTGGTCTTCATGATCCGAAGTAACAATGGGATGATGTCATTGATAGCTGCATCTTCCTGTCGTACTTTGCTGAGTCGACATAGATTGTACATAGTATTGAGAACTTGGTTGGAGATCTCTCGGAAATGTGCAGTATCCTTCTTCATGCTCGAACCTAAGAGGTCGATTAAGAGCTCGATAGCATTGGCAGAGTGCAAGCTATCAAGAGTAGTCGACAACATAGACAAATTCTTGATAAACTTGAGCATGGTAATTTGATGGACCGGTGTCATTCTTCGGAGGTCCTTCAGGACGCCTGATTTTCATTAGCAGGGTTTGAAGCTAAATAGGCGGATAGCCTTACGCTTCAACACCACACGGTCTGCCACAACTTCCTTAACGTAATTTTCTGCCTGTGAGAACAAGTAGAAAATGTTGACAATTCGACCCTCGACCAGTTCAGAAAGCTCGTCGTCCTCGTCAAGAACGCGGTCCAAAACCAACGCCAATGGAGATAAGATCTTGCTCCTCGAGAAGATGCGACAGAAGTCGTTCTTTGGAGTCGGGCCCTAACTCTGTCAGCATTGGAGAGTTCAAGTGAAAAGTGGGATGTTTCGGCATACCTGCAGCTCAAATACGTTCCAGATCCCATTCACACCAATCAACACCAAGTCTCTGGCCTCATCATAGTCCTCGTCAAGAAACTCGACGAGCACGTTAAGACCGCCAGCACTGACAAACATCTGAAGCGTAAGTGTTGATGTCTGATACATTTGCCGCACAAAAGCAGCAGCTTCTAATCGAATCTCGTTCGAATATTGTCTCGCTGCGAACTTCGTGATGATTGGTATACCACCAACGAAGCATAGATTTTCTTGGATTTCGACGTCGTTCAGGATAATCTAGCATACGATCAACAATGATCGGAAGTGGCTAGGGAGCGACCTACCGTATTGACCACTTTCAGTAGCCGCAGTATCATACTTTGCCGGCTTTTGACAGTGCAAGGTTCCAGAATCTCCAAGATAGGGAGCATTCCGTGCGCACTTATAATGAGGCTCTTTGCATCAGCTGACTCGTAGAGAACATCAAGCTTTGACTTTGTTAGTTAAATGTTTCCTTCCTTCTCGGGGAAGACTTACCAGTTGTTCAGATACATCAGCAATTGTGTCGTGTTCTTCAGTCACCTTCAAGGAGCTCACCAAGCCCTCAACTAAAGTAATAAGTCTTGCATGTTTGTCTCGAGCAATGTTGGCTTGCAGATCCATCTCATCAAAGCCCTGCTCTAACGACGCGAACGGGTCGTCCTCATCGTCCTCGTCACCAAGCCACGAGTTGTTCGAGAGTTTGGATTGCAGCATGAGCTCTCCGACCCCAATTTCGGAGCCTCGGTCACTCTCATCCTTCTCTACAATGGCATCGCTCTTACCAAATATATCCGAGAAGTCCTCGTCGTCTTCGTCTTCAGCATATCTCTGAATTTCAACTGAAGATCTTGTTCTGCGCATGGCCTGCTCTTCCCGAGGTGCGGGTTTTCTTCTTATAGTCCCGTTGACGACCGCTGTTGGCTGAGCTGATCGGGGAAGGCTTGTGAGATCGGAGGGATGAAAGAGCTTTGGTGAAAGGGCGTCATCCTGATCATGTTGTTAGCATAAAGATTAGTTCCAGTCACCATTTTACCTTACCTTAATGGTAGTCAGTCGCCGGTCGAATACACTGTCGTTGTCTATGAACAAATCCGAGTAATCTTCAACAGCCTGCTCCCGATACATTGTTGCAGGTCTCTCAGGGAGAGCGAATTTACGTTCTGCTTGAGCTTTGACGGGAGATTTCGGTCGAGGTGGATCACTTCTGGAAGTCTTTCTCGAGGGAGGCTTGAGAGCCGGAGCTGGTCTCATATCTTGTGTAACAACGGTTGACTTTATTCGATATGGGCGAATGGTTTCTAGCTCGTGACTATCGGGCTCCACGTGCTTCCGTGGAGCCTTGATAGTAACCAGATCACCTTCAAAATTGTTGTCCCAATTATCGTTCTCATCATTGGTCATGTCAAAGGACGCGAATGCCTTGAGACGGTCAGAGGAAAACATGCCGCCAAAGTTGTCGTGTGGCTTGAACTGAGGCAAATGCAAAGCACTCGGCGATATCGAAGTTGCAAAATCATCGTCCCAGTTGTCATCGGCTATGAAGAACTTCAATACCCATATCTTTCTAGATTTCTCAGCTGTGTGGGGGTTTCGACATCACATACCTGTGGTCTCTGGAGAACGAAAAGCTTCCGCTTGAGTTTTAGGCTTCGCTAATGAAAGTGGGCCTTTTGCTGGAGCAATCAACCCTGCCACCTGTTGGTCATTGTGAATGTTACGGAGTGGAGGATCTCGTCTAGTAGGTGGTGGACTGGCAACAGTTGATCTGGCTGATGCACGAAAAGAGCCGCCACCTGTTGGGGATTTCAACGCCTCGTTCCACTGCTTGACCTCCTCAACAGCTTCGCTAAAATTGGCAGGGGGTTTAGCGACAGGAGCATCAGTCCGGCGAGAGCCTACGATCCAAGCATGCTTTAGAAGTTTCCGGGCCGATACTCTGAGATTGGGATCCTTTTGGAAACATTGCATGAGAAAGTCTCGTGCAGCCTGTCAGAGATCAGTCAATGGACATTAGCATGTCATGATGAAATACGACTTACTGGCGAGACTCCCTCTGGCAACGGTGGGTGGTCATCGTTGACGATGGCAAACAAGGCGGGCATAGGAGCCAATTTGTGGTAAGGAGGCTTCCCTTCCAGCAATTCAATAACAGTGCACCCCAAACTCCAGATATCAGACGCAGGTGTTGCACCAGATAACTGGATGATCTCGGGAGCCATCCAATATGGAGTTCCCACAACCTGTGCTTCCTTGTCCGCTCCAGCAAGTGTGCTTGTCGAAACACCAAAATCTGCAAGTTTGACCTTGCCATCTTTCGTCGTGAGAATATTGGCTCCTTTTATGTCCCGATGAATAACACCTTGGTCGTGGAGGTACTGAAGTCCAAGAAGTATTTGGCCCATGTAGACACCGACCAGGTTTTCTGGGAACTTTCCGTAACTTTTGCATATTGAATGTAGAGATCCGTTCTCGCAGTATCTTGACAATAGAGTCAGTGCGGGTTACGACTACAAATCTAGAACTTACTCAAGAATGATATTTAGACAGTCTGACGACTTGACGAAACCTAAATATTTGACAATGTTGTCATGCTAATGCAGGTTAGCAGTAGCTTGATCATCTCTCATCATCGTAGGTCCCAGCACTCACATGGAGGTTCTTCAAAAGGTCGATTTCTGCCTGGAAATTACATATCAGCTGCGTCCTTGTACCAGTTTTGATCTTGCCGTACCTCGATCATTCGCAACTCGCTCTTGGGAAGATCTCCAAGCTTTATCTGCTTAACAGCCACAGCCTCTCCCGTCCCCCAGTTGAAAGCCTTGTAAACGGATCCAAAAGCTCCCTTGCCTAAGCATTCTCCTAGACGCTGTCCCCAGGTATCAGCGTTTGTCCTGCACCCCTCCAACGATCTTGACCTACGTAGTCCTTCAGCCCTGGATCCTGAACGGCCTTGTCGACCTTCCCCGCGCTGCCATCTTTTCTCGGGGTGCCCGGCGCCCTCTCTACTCTCCCGTGCCCGTTGCTACCTCCTGATCTGCCATTCGTCTGCCGGTCCGACGCGGAGGGAGGATGGGAGACCATATCGTCGAGGCCCGCAGGAACGGGTCTCAAAGGAAGGACTGGAGAGGTCGAATGCTTTGGCAGGTAGGGGATCTCATCCCAACCATGGATGCTCGCGTGTATGGACCTGGTCCTTGTTTTCGAACCGCGGTATCGCACGCTATCGCGGGATTGAGAGGATTTAGTATTGCCTGGGTCGTAGATTGGGGCGGGTGTTGGGCTGGCTGGCCTGGTATCTGGTCGGCGGAAGATGGCGAGGGCGGAAGCCCTGATTTACTCAGGTATGAGGCGCTGGTAGGCAGTGGAAACTACCTAGATTGGCGGCTCGAATGCCGCATCCTCTGCCGGTGCGTCAATATTCCGGTTCCTGTTCCTGTTTTCGGGCAAAAATGTTCGATGTTGGTGGCTCTCGAGAAATTGGCAATGTCAAATTGGCGAGCAAGGACCTTGTAAGGCTGAAGGCGGATGGATTCATATACCGGTACAGTACGCAGTAATGTCCAGATCGCGATGTTCAGAGCTGCCTACGTTATTGGACTTGCTGAAACCGCCACAGGTCAAATGCACCCATTACCTATTGGTTTTGCTTTTTCGGTCTTGTTAGTAACATAAAACCATACATGTTCCGCGGGTCTACGGTATCAGTAGGCCGAGGTCGTTATGATCAAGTACACACACATATGGACAAAGTGCATCATTTTGCAAGACAATGTGATCAATTGAGGGCTCCGTCATATGGACGTATTCGTTGTTTCTCCCGAAGCAGAAATGCTCCTCTCTGCTCCCAATCCAGCCGTCCATGAATACCAGATAGCTCCGAATCTATCTTTGGAACCCAATGACGTCCATAGTTCTGGGAGGAAAGCTTGCACGGTTTTGGTAGTCAACACAGGCTATAATACAAACAACATCGACGCAGTTTCGAATATCCGCAGGGAATCTTGATTAGAGAGTAGAGAGCCCCATGGACCATCCTCAGTTCGTGGGTCAGGGACTTCTGCTCGGTCCAGCTACAAGTCAGGTTTCCGGGACGTCATCTCTGCGCGCGATTCGAGAGATCATCCCATGAATACCTCTCGTCAAGTGGTCCGTCTCGTTTCGTGAAGCCCGATCTAAATTCGCAGTAACAACTTCTGCATATGATCTCCAAAAGCGGTCTCTCCTATTTCCGCTGTAATCTTGAAGCCTATAATAAGGTTCCTCATCATCATCGGTGTTCGATCCATCTGATACCTCACATTCGTGCTCCGCTCTAGTGGAAGAGGACCCCGAAGACGTCGCTGCGGCTGCCGCTGCGGAAGTGGAAACAAATGATGATCCCGCGCTTGGCGGTTGAGGATCGGGTGTAATGCTTGTAAGCAGCGTATCCCAAGCAGCACCTCCTTCGGGGCTCAAACTTCGGTCTCGATCACCCAGTCCATCCAACCGAGCCTGTCGAGCCAATCTTCGCAATCTTTCCCGGTTACTTGCGGTCTGATTCAGCGCATGAACTCTTTCTGGGGTCTAATTTGGAAGTCAGTATACTCCCATAAATGTCTACTCGATAAGGAAAACAATGTACCGTGCAAGCACAAATCAGAGTTCTGGGGCTGCGGGGCTTACTTCTGTATGTGATGACCCACTGAAAGTGAAAGGGAAACTGATATCAGGCTCCTCCAGGGTTCGGCGGGGCGGGGAGTCACTGAGTCGGGTGGGTTGGTGAGAGGGCGAAAGAACTGGAGTCAAAGACGTAGAGAGCCTAGGAGGGTCCATTCTACTCAGATAAGCCAAATCGCTATCGGTGTACGGGGGCGTTGCCGCGTGGTTCCTTCGTCCTATTCTCCGAAGATCTTGTCCCATCTGTCGCATCCGGTGGACTTCTCTCTGTCTCTCTCTTACATCGACAGCATAATCTCTCGACTCGGGCACTGGTGGCATCAGAGGACCGTCCTCGCCGTTGGATGTTCGTTGCCTTTCGAAACCGAGGGGATCGCGCGCTCTGACACGCTGTTCATCCATCATGCGCAGTGACCTCAACTGCGGAGATTCTGAAAAAGTTATCTCGGTCTCAAGGGAGTATGAAGGCCTTTGAGCCTCTGGCAGATCATCGTCCTCTGGCTCCATTCCCAGTATGCGACGCCTGCGCGCCTCGGCCATACGCGGATGAGGATGAGGTACACGCATTGCTCGTTGTCTTCGTATCGAGGATCGTGGGCCAGCTGCAGTCTTCTCTGCTGCTTTCGACGCGACCTCGGGCTGGATAGGGGTTTTAAATAGACTTGGATCTGGATGAGCGGCGCATGTAAGGTAGGAAGGATCATGAACTCACGGCAGACCCATGTTCGCGCGGATGGGAGATATCGGGACGAGGTAGAAAGTAAGGAGTCTGGTGGTGGTAAATGAATGTTTGCGACAGCGATTATTCGGGATCTGATGGGTTTTTGGATGATCTCGATGATGGGGACGGAGGTTGATGCAATTTTTGGGGTGTTTGTGATGCGGGCGGCGGCGGGTCAGAAACTCCGCAGGCGGATCTAGGTACGTATCTGATCGGCTTTGGCTGGGGTTCTGCAAGTCATTGTGGGGCGGCAGGGATTGAACTTGGAGTCGACGACCTCAGCTCAAGCTCGTTTGATCAATTTTTGATTCACCAGTAAATATATAAATGTATAGCTTGCCAACATTACCTACTACCACGATGAATAGGACTTTAGCTACGGCTAGATTCGACTTTTAGGTAGCTCTGGTCCAGCCAACGCTTATTGAAAGGAGCAAGCAGTCTATCACTCGCATATACTCGTGAAAGAAGACGCTATTGATTTACTTCGTGGAAGGGGAAGTAGGTAGGCCCAAGTAGAACCGATCTTCCTGCACAGAATTTCGGTCTGTTAGACAGACTATCCTGCTTAACTTGCTAGCTAGCTACCCTCATGGGAAGCCAGCCGGCCTCGAAAGATTTACGGAAAGAGGCTCTCTCGAGCGAAAGGAAGAAGGACCTGGGCTGATATATACTTGACGACCAGAAGTCACGATACATACAAAATGATCGAGCTCGGATTATCGCGTATTAGCACGCTTCTCAGACACACCCCTCAATCATGGAAAGCCATTCATGTCGCGGGAACCAACGGCAAAGGATCAATATGCGCCTACCTCTCCGCCATGCTGCAAGCCAGCGGAGTCCGCTGTGGTCGATTCACATCTCCTCACCTGATCGACCGCTGGGACTGCATCACCGTCGATGAGAAGGCTGTCGAGGAATCCGTATTCATGGAAGCGGAAGAATTAGTACTCAAGAGGAACCAAGCCGAAAGTATTCAGGCATCAGAATTTGAACTTCTCACAGCGACGGCTTTCGAGGTCTTCGCGAAAGAGAAGATTGAGATGGGTGTGGTAGAAGTCGGACTTGGTGGCCGGCTGGACGCAACGAATGCGATGGAGAAGAAATCCGTAACGATCATAACGAAGATTGGTCTGGATCACCAGTCGTTCTTGGGGAACACCATCGAAAAGATTGCCCGCGAGAAGGCGGGTATCATGAGGCCTGGTGTTCCGTGTGTCATGGATAGCACGAATCCCCCATCAGTACAAAAAGTAGTGCAGGACTATGCGAAGGAGATTGGAACAGATGTGGTGCTTAGCTCTACAGATTCAGCTTTCCTGGAAGAGCTGTCCAAGGACGCCTTTGAGCCTCACCAATGGCAAAATCTTGCTTGCGCTTATACAGCCTTCCATTTGGCATATACAAAACTCGAGTCTCCACTGCATCGACTGCTGCCAGCAGTCCAGAACATCAAATGGCCTGGGCGTCTGCAGACTTTGAGTATCAGAAGCCTCACTGGACGACATGAACCTATTCTTCTTGACGGAGCCCACAACGCCCAAGTTAGTATAATACATACCCCCTTAACTTAGCGGATGCACCCCGGCTCCATCTCGCTGCATGCTAAATATCTATGAACAGTCAGCCGAAGCCCTCGGCACATACGTCGAGAACAGACTCCGAAAAGACAAGCAAAAAGTCACATGGGTACTCGCCGCCTCGCAGGGCAAAGAACTAGACGGTATTCTCAAGCCGCTTCTAAAACCTCAAGACTGTGTAGCAGCAGTCAACTTCGGACCTGTCGACGGAATGCCTTGGGTTCAGTCCGCGCGTACCCCCGAGATCTCGCAGGCCGCTCTTGATGCTGGCATAGACCCCGGGCGCTGCTATGATGCTGGTGATAACCTGCCTGGCGCGCTGCAATGGGCTGCTACTGTCGCTGGGGACGGCCCGATCGTAATTGCGGGAAGCCTTTACCTTGTGTCGGATTTGCTACGACTTCTGCGAGGCGCAGAGCGTGTAAAGTCTCAGTTCCTGATATGAACATCTCAGATCAAAGCCGCTGCTTTCTCTACATCCCATGTTGCTACCATGTATCTCATTTCATCGATTGATTATCATCTGCTTAACTTACTCGGATATATCCTAAGGAGGTTTGAAAATACGTTTCGGCATACCCATCCGGAAACGGGACTACGGTCGACAGCCATCTAGGATTCCACGAGAACCTTGGTTTCAAAAGTCAGCCGCTATCCCACTTTTGAATGCATTCCGGGCATAACTATTCCGTTGCGACTCTACAAGCCAATGCCATTTCCCTTTCCAGCCTCTATCTAGTATATCAAGTCTCTCACTGCGATAAAATTTGACAATAGTTCGTTCCTCTTCGACGATATCGCAAGCACGTGATATAACATATTAACCATACCATCATGGCGACCAAAGCAAATGTTCTCCTAGTCGGTAGTGGAGGAGTTGGGACGATGGCAGCTTACAACCTGGAAGCTGGGGGTTTAGCTACAGTCACAGCTGTGCTACGATCAAATTACCAAGCAGTCCTGGATAACGGCTTCAGCATCACCTCGCTAGACCACGGTGAGATCAAAGCCTGGAAGCCAACAACCTGTAACCGAACCCCCCCCCCACCAAGAAATCTACCAAGTACCAACTAACAGATACAGTGATAAACGCCATCCCAAAAGCGGGAAAAGACACGCCCGCGTTCGACTTCATAGTCGTCACCACCAAGAACATCGCCGATATCCAGCCCACCGTAGCCGAGCTGATCGCGCCCGCAGTAACAGAGGGCCAAACCACCATCGTACTCCTCCAAAACGGCCTCAACATCGAGAAACCGCTCATAGCCGCCTTTCCCCAGAACGCAGTCCTGTCAGGCGTCTCGCTCATTGGGGCAACCGAAATATCCCACGGCGTCATAGTGCACGACGATGCCGACCGCCTCGTAGTCGGCGCCTTTACCAACCCCAACATCCCCGTTTTAACCAGCGTCACAGCAGCCAAGAGGTTCGTCGAGATCTACGGGGCCTCTGGCAAAGTCGTGTGCACACACGACGAAAATGTAGGTTTCGTCAGATGGAGGAAGTTGGTTTATAACGCGTGTTATAACTCGGCCTGCTCAGTCGTGAGGACGGACACGAGTCGGATGCGGTACTACAAGTTCCCGATCGAGGAGGTGGTCAGGCCATTGATGCTGGAGATTATCGCCATTGCGAAGGCGGCAGGGCACGACTTGCCGGAGGATATCGCGGACGCGATGATCCACTGTGATCCCGAAGATACCTTTTTCAAGCCGAGCATGCAACAGGATACTGAAAAGGTCGGTGTTGAGATCTTGAGAGATGAGTAAACGTCAACCGAGTGAGCGCTAACGACGAGCTGGGCTAGGGCAACTTTACCGAGTTTGAGAATATTGTCGGCGAGCCGCTGAGGGAGGCAGAGAAGTTGGGTGTGCCAGCTCCGAATCTGAGGATGATGTACGGGCTGCTGAAAATTCTACAGTATGGTTACCCTGTTCAAAGCTTTCTTCCCATCATGAGAGGATCAAGGCACTTCTGGTGCCCATTTGACTTCCAAATATTGAATTCCTAACTGTCTAACATCATTGCTCGCAGGTGGAAGACGAAAGAGACCAAAGGGCTTGTGAAGTTACCTGTATCCCCACCAGCCTGAGGGGGGAGGGGAGGACTTCAAGCACCTTTAGAATAATTTCATCAACCAAGCCAGATTGTGGACTGTGAAGATGTGAGAGCTGGCTGGCATGCTCGGATGGAGGCTATGCTGGATATGCCCGTACGTGCGAAACACATAGCAGAATATTCTTCGTCTCTGAGTAAGAAGATGGAAAGAAAAGAGTAATAAGGAGCCTAAATGTATGAGGTCTTCTCTGAGGTTTGCAGCGCAAGTAGCCTCACATGGCGGGAGTGGACGAAACTACCATCCATACCTCTCAGCAAGTGCACCCTATATTGGGTTGCAAAGCAAGTTCCGAGACCAAGAAACTATGAGTGAGATACCGGTATCATTATGTGAACTTCCAATTCGTATTGACAACTAATCAATCTCCTGGCTCGAAACACCCACTCACCCACCACTGAGGAGGAAGAGGAGGAGGAGGAGGCCCGTGGCTTCCAGAGTGACCGACCGTCTCTAAAAAAAAAAAGGCAAACAAACCTTCAAGCTCGATCAACAAAAGAAAGCGTTTTCTTGCGTGACCTGAAGACATTTCGAATCAAGAATCAAGAATTGAGATGAGAGAACAGAACCTGGAGTTGGGATACTGGAAGACGTTGTCCCCTCGTAGAACATTCTTTTGCGCCGCCTGTACAGCCAGACCCCGCGGCAGAAGGCTTGAAAGTCTAGTTGCTAGGCCCGTCTCGCAGTCTCTTACTAAACAGCGAGGAATCGAGGAATTCAGTTGATGTGTAGGAGAAGCCTTCAAGAGATCCCTAGCCCGTCCATCGTGTCTTTCCTGTAGATAGGTTAGCGGAAGTAGGCGTCTTGTTCACAAACAAGAGACGGGCTAGAAGGGCAGTTCTGGAGCCGAACTCGCATTGAGCCATCTGCAAGTCTTTAGGAAGACAATAAGTGGCGTGAAGCTGGTAGACTTGTTGGTATTGAGAGAGTGGCTCGGCGTCTATAGAGCTTTTCACTTGGTTTTCAACTCAACCGAGCCCTGTCCATCTACGGTCAAGTCACACTGTACAGCGAGTCGATAAGGAGAAGTGGAATTGCCGCCCAGTTCCTTGAAAACAGGTAACATGTATACCAAAGGGCCATGCGGGTGTCTAGTGAAGTGTATTCCGATTTCTTATGTACAAAGCAAAAACCCCAACTCGACCCCTCTATTGGAATGTCCGGCAAGGATACCTGTCACCAGATTAGCCACAAGCTCACACTCAAGACCCAAATCAACATACTTATCCGGGTACGCATTCTCGCCGGTGAGGGCATAGGGGACCTTTCTCAATCCACTCGGGAGCGGCGGCAGCCCGTCCTTCCCCAGCATCGCCAGCGCACTCGCATCCTTCTTAAAGTACGCCGCCAGCCCCGTCTTGCCCTCCTCCTGGACCTGCACCAGCGCCTGCGCGCCCGCGTCCCCGATCAGCTCCTTCTTGGGGCTGGCCTGGCTCCCCAGGCTCAAAAGGCCCACGACATCGCCCTGCGTCACGAACGAGAGCTGCGGGTAGTTGCGGCGCGCGTCGCGCTTCCAGTACGGGTTGCCGGCGATGTCGCCCGCGGGCAGGGTGACGGGGTCTTGGAAGGAGAGGGGGTCGTTGGATCCTGGGGGCGGGTTGCGGTATTGCGGGTTGAGGGGCACGCCGTTGGAGCGCGTGGAGTCAACGGCGAAGAGGCGGCGGATGCGTTCCCAGATTCCGGTGGATTGGACGGTGTATTTCTGCACGCTGGGTGAGTTTGTGAGGTGGAAGAGGATGGGGGCGTCTGGGGTAGCTGGGGATAGGGAGTGAGGGCGAACGGCTTACCTTATGGACGGGGTGGACTCGGAGCACAGCTTGCGTGACCTTTGCCGCGGTCTTGGAGGACATTGTGATCTTCTCTGGCGCAACGAGAGTTCAATTGACTCGGTGGGGATGTGAAGGCATTCCATGTAGTCCGTCCGTCGTTTGGGGTTCGGAGGGCGAGAGGTTGATCGCCGATGTTTAGCCGCTGCCTACTTGGATTGCGAACTTCTAGAATTCCACAGGCACCACGTCACTGTATTCATGATTTGATAGTATCAAAATGCACACTATTTCACCGGATAATCCAACTCCATCCTAAATAAGGACGTTACGGCTTCCCCGTCCATGTTCACATGATGGATAAGCGAATGAAGCCAGTTCGGCGTTTGTATCAGGTCAACAAGAAAATCGCTCCCTAGAGTAGCAAAAACACCGAGTCCTAGTAGACGCTTTTCGCCAAGTTCCATTCCGCATATATTCATTTTCACACTACCAGAAGAGAATCGGAAGATGCACCTTTCCCGTTCCAAGGCATGGTTCCCTCCAGAACTTGTCACCGGTCGCCTTTTCAGACGCCATATCCAAAAGAAGCGCAGCATTCAAGCAATATTTCACGCGGATCGTACTTTATTCTCTGCATCTCTCTCAAGTAGCGGTCGGCTCAGCCCCATTGCTATCGAGCTTCTCGGCAGTCCCAGCGACTTCTGCAGCAGTCGTTGATTCCGGGTCCATCGGAGCATTGCTGACGCCATTAGCAGAGGCCTCCGCTTTTGGCTCAGCTACTACGGACGTAGCAGCTGGGGCTGCCGTGACATCGCCGCTTGCAACGAGCTTCTTGACGACTTCAACAGTGGCTGCTGGTCCTCCCGTTTCCACGGCGATGACTTTGGCAGACTTGTCCACCACAAATACACCGCGAGCTGTGCTGGCTGGTGCCTTCGTCAAGCCAATAGCCTTGATGAGCGTACTGCTGGTGTCGCAAAGAAGAGGGTACGGGAGGTTTTGCTTCGTCTTGAAGGTAGTATTGGCCTTTGGCGAGTCTTTGGAGAGACCGTAGATGGAGAAGCCCGTCGCGGTGAGGGGTTTGTACTGGTCACGAAATAGGCAGACTTGTGTGGTACCTTCGAAGCATTAGATGTAGCCCGTATGCAATTTGCGACGTCCAATTCGAAATACGCGCCAAACTTACATCCGGGAGTTGAAGCCTTGGGATACGTGAAAAGAACAACACCAGCTTCGCTTTCATCAACAAGGGCCTTGAGTGTGGTCTTTACACCTTCGTTGGTCTCGATCTCACCACCGAATCCCTCAAGGGTGATGGTATCACCAACCGCGACCTTGGAAGCGCTTGCAGCACCATTAGTCTTGGCTGCCTTTGGACTGACTGCCTCCTTGACTTTCGCAACTGCCTTTGCGACGGGGCCCTTCTTCTTAGCAGGAGGAGCTGCAACAGGTTCAGACACTGGCGCCTTGCGCTTTCTCAGCTCGGGAGGCATCGTGTATTTGGGTGAGGGTCGAGGTGATGGATATCAAGTTAAAAGGCCGTCCACGCGATGCGATGCGATGCGATGCGACGCGATGCGATGCAATGGAATGCAATGGAATGGAATGCGATACAATGCGCTGCGACGATGAGATGGTGTTGTTATAAGATTTTGATATTGCTGTTGGTATTGGTATTGGAGGTGCGCAGAGTTACAGCGATTGGGATTCAAGAAAGCAGAAGACGATGATAGATGAAGGGGGGGGGATGTTGAGGTTGGATTATAGCAAAAGCTATGTATGCAGCTGTATGCAGATGTAAGCAGCTCTGGGTCGGGGGTCAGGTCAGATCAGGTCAGGGTCGCGACTCCTCCCAGCAAATAGAAAGTCTCTCTTCCGGCACGAATAAGCAGGTTTTGTGCCCCCGGAACATCCTCCCTGGAGCGCGCGAGCATTTTCCTTACATCCTTCTATTCTTAGTCGCTTCGCGGAGTTTTGGTGTATCCGAACCGCAGCGTGATGGGATGGATTTGGGATGCACGGAAAACGTGATACTGGACTTCAACATCACACCTTTTCTTTGGTATATCTTTTGTATCTTTTGTATTGCCACTAAGATTTGTTTACATCAAGCCACTACCCACTAGATTATACTCGTTATCATTACACGCTAAATTAGCTAATCAGGAATTGTACAAAAATGTCATGTGTACCTGCCCTGCCTAGGGAGAGACAGGTGAGAGGAGATTCCAGTGACCATTCGGCGTAGCTTGACGTACTTTGTCCAGCTTACCTAGTTACCAGGTACTTTGTATCCGTGTCCAAGTCTCGTGCCGTCTATTTCAACGCTGATAACGAGCCGTGACTGAACGACCTCTCCGGACAAATTGAGCATCGATTCGAGACTCCCAATCTCGGGTTTGGAGAATACCGCCCAGGCCTTCAACAGACTTTGCTTGAAATTCTCGTGCGAGATGTGTTTTTTCAGCACGTTACGCAGAGCCTCTCCCCGGCCTTGCATCCCTTCCTTCTGGAGATGTTCGACCACTTTAGCCAAGTCCGTTGCTGAGTGCCGGAATCGATTCCCGGGAGGAAAGTAACACGAAGCTTCGACGTTCGGATTGTCCACGATGAGTGTTGGGACGGCGCTCAGTGCGGCCTCGAGAGGGGTGATGCCGAGAGTCTCGTAGCGAGAGGGGCAGACGAAGAATCCATTGTCCTTGACTGCATCGAACAGAGCATACAAGCTGTCTTTGGGGAGTTTGGGGGCCACCATGAATGCCGAGATGAAAGCTGTTGGTACTCGTTCCAGAAGGTTCGCTCGCCGGAACTGCTCGCTGTCATCACCACCGGCAACCAAGACCTTAACAGCAATACCGCGTCTCAGAAGCTCGATCCCTGCGTCCATTAATAGCTCCACGTTCTTGAAGAAGTCGAGACGGGCTACGGCAGTGAACAGTATGAGGGATGGCTTTTTCTCGACGAAAGATGCAATTTCGGGATGCGTCACGGCAAGGTCTTGATGCTCGAACTGGCCAATATCGATCGGGGGGCTAAGTCGATAAATCTGGGCGGGATCAATACCGTGCTCCGTAAGATACTTGCGTTGCACGGATGAGTGTTGCAGGACGAACGTGTTTTTGGACCGGCGAAGATGATTGAGCCCAATGCGCTGGTGCTTCCGAAGATGATAGGCCTTTTCTCTGCTTCCAAAGGCAATCGCTGCTTGTTCCATGCAAAAGTGTTGGACAAAGTCGTCATAAAACGGACCGTGATGCGTTACACAGCTAGGTAGCCAACACGGACTGTACGCTAGAAGGGTGTCGGTTTGGTGGTATAGAATGGCGAGCCCAGCAACTCCGCGAGTCGCCATGAGCAGCATCTCCGTGGCACTGCTGATCGCGTCCCGAATGTCCGATCGGCGCATTTCGAAGTTGAAACATAGGACAACACACGGAATAGATGCCCTGAACTGGATGGAAACTTTCGGCTGACTGAGATCCTCTTGTCTCTGATACAGAATCATGCCAGCGAAAAGCCCCTCATGTTGGAGGACATGCGCAACGGAGAAGGCAATGGAGGTCGCTCCCACTTTGGCGGCACTTGTCTCCGAATCCGGTAAATACTTTGCATTGAGTATGAGGATACCGGGAAGCAGTGACATCGGGGCTATCGGCGCCATTGGGTTCAGCATTCTGAAGTCAGGAAATCGTCGAGCAAGGTAGGTCTTCCAGATCTGATTCCTCCCAGTGTTGGTAAATCAATGGCCAGTCAACCCAAATATATACCGACATCGACATTCGCCAAAGCAGTTCTGGGGTCAGCGTCACATAGATGTCTATCGGCCACTATGAAACTTTCCAGTTGGACAAGATCGTACCTAGAAGCAATATCGGTCCGCGAAGATGCGGCATCGATATTGCAGATTAGCGAATATTGCACCCAAAGTTATTGCGCAGTCTCTCTACATGCAGACGCCTCGTCATTAAACGATCAGGTCAAGTGATGCGGGAATTCGATGTCGGAAGAAATTTTGGTATGACAATATCTTAATATACACTGATAAAAAGTTACGTGCTGCGTCATTTGTCCATTTGTTATGGGAAACGAGTCTCGGTTATCTCTCTCGATATTGAGACCTATCCTTGAAGCTATTCTGAATGCTATTCCTGTACGTTTGCTTCTGTTTCTCTGGCTGTTGTTTCGAAGCGAGACTTAAAACGATCCAAGTCCTGCCATTCAACTTGATTACTGTCTTTGTCTCCTACTTGATTGCCAATCCCCTAAGCATATATGATCAGCTAGCGTCGTTGTGATGCCAAGACGGGACCGAATACAGGAGGGCGTTGGCCCTACCCTATTCGAGTATGCTCTCTGGTAGATGCTAGTTACCCGAATGTATGCTGGGACTCAGAAAGAGTGCACAGGATGGGGCCGAATGGGTACTTTTGCTGCCGCCAAGATCTTCAGTCAAAGAGTTATTCAGAGGTAGCATCGCGCCATCCACGAGATATAGCTGCAGTGTGAACTCTCTTGGATTGCCGAGTAGTTAATATAAGGTACGTAGCGGTGAGATAATCATCAATATTGGGTTAGAGAGGACGGCGAGACGAATAGAAGGCAATTTCAGCGCTTCTATGCTACAATTTCAGAACTATCTCCCCTTGTCGTCCTCGGTCTGAGCGAAGACCGCCAAGTAACAGTTGAGATCGGCTTGATATCAAAATCTATGTGGGCGTTAAGCGGCTGAATTTTGTCCTACCTTTCTACGGAAGCCTCAAAACACAGCCAATCCGGGTGGTTCGTCCATAGCTCGGTGTTGCCCGCCCTGTTTCCGCAGTGCCTGAACTCGGCTTGGTCGAGGAACGGCTCGCTGTTGGGGACCGCAAGGCTTGTGACACAATGGTGTCTTTAATTCAAGTCAACCGCCTGCTTTTACCCGATCTCGACTGGCCGAGAAAGCTCATCAGCATCATAGCTAGCCGGCATGGGAGGTCAGGGACAGTGACAGCGACAGCGACAGAGATAGTCGGGACGATAGCATGGTAGAGAGAGACACTTGTGTAGATAGCTGGTAGTGCGGCTACTTTTCCGTCTTCCGGACCGTTCAACGTCGTCACCCAGATCCAACGTCACTCAGATCCAAGCACGAACATTCCACACCCTTTCACAAGGCTCTCGGGTTACCACAGTATCACTAAGTACTACAAACGGAAGTAGTTCATAGGACCTCGACAGAACTCCTGCACCTCTTCAAATCTTCCGTCTCTCAAAAACAAGTATCTGGTCTTCTCAAACTAAAAATCTGTGAATCGTGGATCCAAATCTTGCCTTTACACAACTATCGGTGAGGCTGCTTTCGCTTCTTGTCGAGGAGCACTCGGCGCACCAGCTGCCGACGGTCGCTTACCCGAGTGACCGATATCTTTGCAGCTTTTCCAATACCGGCCCGACTTAAGGGTACCTCACCTAAAAAACAGAAACCCGGTTATTCTTAATATTATAATGGAGTCCTTGCTGATACCTATTCCAGCTCCATCTGAGGAGGTCAAATACCAAGTTGGAGGTTGGCAATAACGACGATGTTCTGAGAGGGTTATCTCATGGAATGTTCTCGGACTTTGGGCTAGGCCTAATGTCAATACCTCACTGGAGCCTTGAGTCGTCCAAAACGAAAGCCCGTACCATTTCGACACGTGATTTTCACGTGCTGTTATAGGTTGGTATTCCCCTCACCGCCGTTCCCAAGCCTTCCGGGTCTTTCGCGTCCCTCATGAGCTTTGGAATTTACGGATAGAGGGGTATTCACTAGACTCAAACGATTCTGATTCTTTTATAGTCTCCATTATTCACGGGGCTATTGACACGTGGGTCCTCGGTCGGCCCCTTTTCACGTTCTCTGGGTTGAGATTCGGAGATAAGGGTGAAAAAACCAGGGTCTTCTGATCATCTAATTGTGACGAAGACGTGCATACAGAGTATAGGGGACATCAATCTTTACTGTATTGTTTAGCCTTCCTCGGCCTGGGGAATCCTGTTGATGCAATTTGATTTGAAGATCTCGAAACTCCTTTTAGTTGTATGATCCGTGCTCTTCCCTGCCCGGCGCGGGAAAAATAGGGTTCCGGTGGCGCTAGAATAACCGATGGGGGCAACATTTATCCACCCTTCTTTCTCCGTAGTTCATGATTCATCTCCTCAACCTCAACCTCAACCTCAACCGCTCATTCACATTACTTCACTGCGCTGCCAAACGCCGCCAAACTTTCAAATTACAGGCGAACAAACTGAAGTATAAACGACTTCAGAAGTAGAAGCAAACACCTGCGTGGCGCCTGAATACACTACCCGCGTCTGGCCCATAAAAAAAAACCTGGGTAAATCCGCAAGTCCTGCAACTCATACACTATCACGATGAAGGTCTTTTCAAACGACTGTACGTTCAACTACTCATGGGAAGAGGTTTCGACGGCGAACTGGAGGAAGTATTGTCCGTGGAACGACCAGTCGACGCATGTCATTGCAGTCGACACGATCTCGCGCAGGGTTGACGCTGAGACGGGAGTGGTAACTTTCCTTTACCCCAGATTCCTCCTTTCAACCTGCTAACAATTCGCAGTTACGAACAGAACGACTCATTACGTGCAAGCAAAGCGCGCCGAAATGGCTCATGTCCCTCATGGGCGGCAATGATACATCACACGTCTTCGAAACATCCTACGTTGATCCAACATCAAAAAAGGTCACTATGATCTCTCACAATCTGACCTTCTCGAATATCATCAACTGCCGCGAGACGGTCATCTACCAGCCGCTCTCGGAGACGCGGACTCAATTTGTACAGGATGCGAAGATCACGGCTGTGTGTGGCGGGTGGCAGAAGATCAAGAACGCGGTGGAGGAGGCTACAGTGACACGCTTCTCGGAGAATGCGCAAAAGGGGAAGGACGGGTTCGAGTCAGTATTGGAGATGAGCAGGAGGGTTTTTCGGGAAGAGAAGCAGAAGGAGCAGAGCCAGCGGGCTATCCCTGCATGAGCGGATGAACCGACTATCGAGGCCGACAGCCGGTACCTCTCCTCCAACAAAGCTCATCGAACCTCTTGGATTTTATTCTTGAAATTCCGGGATTGCTTCACCCGACTACCTACGACCTTTCGTTCTCCTACTGCGATCAGCATCTGCTTAGAGTGTTTCCCATTTTCTGCCACTGCCGCGAATTCGGTACCCAAAAGTCTGCTTTGGGCGTTTGGGAGCAATATTCATTTCTGGACGGCGTTTTCGGGATAGAGATGCTGGATAGAGAGCGACATCACTTCTCATGGGTAGCGATTCCCATGTACGAATGGAATAGAATGGTGCGTTGGCACAAAGATAGATAGACTGGGATCAAGGTGGAGAGAAAGGCAGATAGAAGAAAACTCTATGCTCTTGGTCATAATAAAGTCACACAGTATGAATGATGTACCAAGAATTTCTACGAGATTGCTTTTCGGTCTAGATGAATCTGTAAAGTCATTTCTTTGCATTGCCCACCAGGACTGGGTATCAAGGCTCAACTCCAACCATATTGCCAATACAGTCAGTTTATCCTTCAAGACCTCTTCTCTGCACTGCGAAGTTTCGCATCGCATCTCTCCAAGTAAGTCTCCAGCGTCTTCCTAAACTCAACCATAAGGTCCTTCCCTCTCATTGCCTCCTCGGTGAAATTCTTCGCCTCCTCGTACCTCCGGTAGAAGTACAATTCCTCAATAGAATGCAGGATCCTCTGAGACACCGGCTTCGAAGGACTGTCAATCGGCAGATTCAGAGTCTTCCACAGCTATATATGCTTTCTCGAGTCAGTCGGTAACTCTTGCACAAGGGAACACAACAAATACATCATATCATGTATATATGCCTACAGACCTCACCCTTCTCGACCTTGGGCCTCCACTCCCTCAACTGCTGCTGGAAATCCGCCTCGGACTGGAAGTCCCGAGGGGGTTTCGTCTGTTGCTCTGCGGCTGCCTCGTCGGCGGAGCTGAAGTCTATGTTGAAGAGACCGCCGTTCTCGTCCGAGTCTGCTGCGTCCATTTCCTTGTGCCTCTTAGGTATCTTTTGCTCTTTCGTGTTTCCAGCTTAAGGTACTTGGTGGGAGAAGGAAGGGATATGGTACCTAGGATTTCGTCGTTGCACCAGGCTTCAACCCCGCCAGCAACCCCACTTCACTTCACTTCACCTCCCCTTGAGCTCCATCTCACAACTTTCCAACCTCAGATCTCACTTCTTATGCAAACTACTTAACCAATCTTCCTGCTATAGAACCCCCGGACGAGAAGAATATGGAAGACCAAGTAACATACCTTGTGCAAAAAACTTGGGGTACTTACACACTCCTTCAATACCCACCCATCTACCAAAGACGAGGAGGCTGAAGCAAGCAGCACAGCTAAATTCAAAACCATACCTCCTAACGAACGACTCTTAATTGCCATCTCGGGCATTCCAGGATCCGGTATTCTACCTAAAAGCCCTCATTCAGCTAACTTCAGCTACAAAGACTGACAAACAACAGGCAAAACAACACTAGCCAAAACCATAACCGCCCGCCTCAACGCTCTCGCTACCTCCTCCAGCTTCCCGGGCCAGATAGCGACGACAGACCCAGGAGTAGTAGCCACAGCAACCTACATCCCCATGGACGGCTATCACCTCCCGCTCTCCGTCCTACACGCCATGCCAGACCCCACACACGCTCTCGCCCGCCGCGGTGCACCATTCACCTTTGACGGCGCGGCCTTCCTCTCTCTAATCACCTCCCTCCGGCCGCCCATCACCCCCGAATCGGGGACGATATACGCGCCTTCGTTCTCGCACACGACCAAGGACCCTATAGCCAAGAGCATCGCCATTGCGCCCACGTCGCGCATCCTCGTCTTCGAAGGGAACTATCTCTCGTTGAATGAGGGCCCGTGGAAGGAAGCGGGGGATTTGATGGACGAGCATTGGTTTGTGGATGTTGGTGAGGATGTGGCGGGGAGGAGGCTGGTACGGAGACACGTGAAGAGCGGGGTGGCGCCGGATGAGGCGAGCGCGTGGAAGAGGGTCAGGGAGAATGATTTGCTTAATGGCAGGGAGATTGTCGAGAAGAGGAGGGACGGCGTTGGTGAGCTGATCGTGAGTAGGGAGGATGGGGGCTGGAGGGCTGAAGGGGAGGAGTAGTGTCGGGGGGTGTTTGTGGCAGAGAAGCTGGGCTGCGGATCCAGAGTGGTTAGACTTGGTAGCTAGCTGTGGCTTGGATGCCGTAGAATACCGCTCGTTGCTCGTACTGCTGGGCATGGCAAACTTGATCGGATAGCAGCCGAGTCGAACCCGATTGTTTGGAAGAAGTCCGAGTCTTAGTCACATAGACAGACTTGAGACCTGTGCAAGAATTAAATTCCGAATCGGTGTGATACATGGTCTATGTGCGTGCGCCATGTAGTTGTAATCATCGTAGTAAAACCCTCAAGTCTGTACATACATGTCTCTGGCTCGTCCAACTCGCCTCGCTTGAGATGAGCCGAGTTCAGGCTTGCCTCTGGAATTGGAATCCAGCTTGACCTCCCTGAAAACAAAAACGAGCACGAAACTACTCGTCAGCTCTGTCTACTGACGGGGTAGAAGATAGTCTTGTTCCACGGCGAAAATTTCGACCTATGCTCGTCGCCAATCAGTGTCGGTTGTCAGCGTTGAGAGCTAGCTCTGCTGAGTCGTTTTGAGAGAAAAAAGAAAAAAATAAAGGAAAAGGAGTTGTTTACTCCTAAGCGAGTAAAGGAGCGCAGGTTGCGCCTTCCCTTGACAGGGTCCATGACAGATTGCCATGCTGAACCAGGTCGATTGTACTCTTTGCTCTTTGCTCTTTGCCCCTTGCTCTTTCCTTTCCTTCTGAAGTTCGATTCGGCGGCGTGGTCTGAACAGAGGCTTGATCGGCACTGCGAAGACAGTTGGTCATGAACAAAGCTTTGGCCGTGATTGTCCAAGAAAAATCCAACCCCAAAAAAACGAAAGCATTCTTCCATATCATTTGTTCCCTCCGTCCACTCAAGATCAGAGATCAAAGGAAACCATCTATACTCACCCCCCAAAGGCTAGCTAACCCATTCGTACACTACAGATCCACCACCGCACATCACAGAGTAGCATAGCATAGCATAGTACAGTATAGCAGACTCACGTCCGAGTCCCCAACAGGCACCCGCATCGCCATGGCCTTCTCCCCCAAGCCATCTTGGGATCGAAACTCACCCCGACGACCCGGCGCTCTCGGCCGCCTTATCGTTCGCTCCCCAGACAGGCGCTACGAGATCCGCGCCCAGTCGCTCTTCTTGGTCCCCAGTAGTGCCGTCGTAAACGCAGCCACAGCCGACATGAGGTCGTCGACCTTGTTCCGGCCAGTCAGAGGGCTCCGGCTCGTCGTCGAGGCCGCCGGCCCCAGCTTCTATCACTTCCTGGTGCAGAAGCGGTACCACCTTCGCGTCGGCGACGCTATCACCACGCCCCGCTCCGAGATCCGCAACTGCCGCCACATCATACACACCAATGTGCCGCGGTGGGCCGAGAGTAGGCTCACCCAATCCACGGCCGCGTTGCGTAAGCAGCAGCTGGTGGATTGCTATCGAAGGTGTTTGGAGGAGGCTCAGAGGGTTGGCGCTGGCAGCGTGGCGTTCCCGTGCCTGGGGGCCGATAATATTTCAGGCTGGGATAGGAGAAACTCTGCGAGGATTGGCGTTAATACTGTGCTTGCGTGGTTCAGGCATCCGGTGAAGGGCGAGGAGAGGAGGAGGAGGATACCCGGGCCCATATACTTTTTGTGTGATCCTTCGAGCCCGAATTGTATGAGCCATAGGCTTGCTTGGATGGCTGCTTTTGAGTGGGTGATTTTTTTTTTTTTTCGGGTTCTAATTCTGACTTGAAGCTGGAGTTGGGAGTTGAGAGGCTGATTTGCGATATGCAGGAAAGTGTGGCCGCCGAATGCAGCGCCTAGCGAGGAATCGTTGGAGGCGGGTCTGAAAACCGCGAAGCATATCAACAGTAAAGGGGAACCAGCTTAGACAGTCGCATGGGATGGGGGTCGAATTCGACAACGATGCTGGCGTTGGTGCTGATTTTGCCGGGCTTCCGCATCCGCCCTACGTCTCACCGGCACTTGAGCTTGGCCAGGAGAATATTGACTCGCCTACGAGTTCTATCGAACAGGACGATGCACAAGGCGAAGTTGAGGGAGGGGATACGGAAGAGAGATCGAGAAGGTGAATCAGGATAAAATCGTCTGCTGAATATGTTGAGCCAAATGCATAACCGGAACGGGATACTGAAAACCGGCTGAAAAAAAGGAGAGAAGAAGGTGGAAATGAACAGAGCTCGACGGATGAGAATGAAAGTGGACCTCGTAGAGGCTCGAGAGATCGAAAACCACCAAATAGAAATGCATTTTAACGTGTATTGGCACTAGCGCCGGCTGGAGATTTGAAGTCTAATGAGCGCAGAATTTGGGAGTTGGCCCACTGGCAAGCAGAAAAGCCAGACAAAGAGGCTAGAGACCGTAGAGCGAATAGTTGTACTGTGATAGCTGAGCATTAATGAAAACAAGCTTGCTCTCTCGCCACCGGATAAGATGCTGCCCCCAACTAGTACTTGAAAAGGCTCCAAAGTGTGGCTCAGTGATCTATTGGCAGAGTCCGGCACCTAGAGTAAGGACTGTGGAATCCTCATTCTCTCATAGCAGCACTTTCGTAGCTACACTCAATAGCCAAGCAGCATCCTGCCAGCCAGCCACATCGCCGTCTTTCATGGGCGGCGGAACTTCCTCCGTGATAGGATCGTGGATCCCATCAAAAGGCAGCCTGGAAGTACGTGGAGAGAATTCAGAGTCTTCAGCCTTCTCGTCCGTGAGCTCTTCATCTTCGCCATCCTCTTCCACGGCAAAGAGACTCCATCCGAGCATTCTCTCCACCCACCCGCTCAATCCCTGGCTGTTGGCTCTAGCCAGCTTCCTCACCTCCGCGTCGTCTTTCTTCGCTTCATCGCTTCCCTCGTAGAAGTCCTCCTCTTCGTCTTCCGCATCCACAAAATCGGGTTCGGTGATAAAGTCCTGCCGGGCAAAAGCCCCATGATCGAAATACCCATCGATTGCCCCACCAATAGGCGTGAGCAGCTGTGCCCGGCTCCCCCGTCTGCTATTTACTCTACTCGCGAACCTGCTATGCGGTCTACTCGGCGTGGCCGGTCCAAAGCTCAAGCTCCGCCTAACCGTCACGGGAGAGAGCTCATCATCCGCATCAGCAGCAACACTACCCCTCCGACTCACCCCCCTGCTCGCCTGCTCCCGCTCCCTCGCAAGATCCCTCTCCAATTCCTCATCGTCCTCGTCCCGCTGCCCCGTCAAGCTCGTCGAGCTGGCCCTAGACACCAACCAGGACTGCCCCTTGCTCTCCCGCGTACTCGACGATATCGCCGCCCCGGCCCGCAGCAGCCAGTCCGAATCGACACGATACGTCTCTGTCAAGGACAGCTCGTTCCGCAGTCGCGTTCCGCCGGGTGTGCTGGTACCGCTGCGAGGCAGCTTCCGAGGAGGTGGAGCGAGGAGGTGGGTGCTGGATTTTGATTTAGGGAGGGCCATGGTTAGGGCTCTGGGAAGGGATACGCGGGAGGAGGACCGGGACAGGATCGAGGGTGTGGTTGGAGCGGAGCGGCCTTCGATATAGGACGTTGATAGGTCAGGGAGGGCGTCGGCGTCGGGGAGAGGAAGTCGGGAGGTCAAGGGGGCGAGCGTTAGATGGTTCAGGTTGGTGAATGAGCGGGAATTGTGTCTCCGCGAGTGTTGGTTGTAAGCTACATCCATGGTTACGAGGTGGACGGGTTGGGTGAGGGAGAGGGAGTGAGAGGTGGGAGGTGGGAGATGGGAGATGGATGAGAGAGAGAGGATGAGGAGATTGAGACAGTAGTAGCTTAATCTGGGGAAGTGGAGACGAGACTTTGACCCACTTTCGCCTCGCCAATTCGGCAAAAAGTATGTGCAAGGAGACCCACTGAAATTCAATTCATGAACGGTGCACCAAAGATATTTACATCTTGAACTTCAAGATGCGCAACTTACGGAATACACGTTATGATCAGTGGGCGCCTCTCGGCTCGTTTAATGGGAGGACGCTGAGTGCTGCGACTTGGGACCTCGCGAACGACTCTGTGCTGTGCGCCTTTGGACCAACCGAAAACGAGCCTGTTATTGAGCTGGTCAGGATTACTGCGAAATCAGACTCTTAGTCAGTTCACCTTGAATTATCGGAATGTGTATATACTAACATACAAACAGTGAACACACAAGCATCACCTCGTGGGATGCTCCATGTCCAAATCCAGATCTGGCATGCGACGAGATATTGAGCCTTCACTATTTCGCAGACAGTCTGACAGCATGTTTGGTCCTCGCCGGCGGCGACATTACGGTCGTTAGAGAAGAGCCTCAACCTGGAGAGGATCGGATTGAGATTGTTGGCTCGGTCGACGAAGGAATCACGGCTGCAAAGTGGTCACCTGATGAGGAACTTCTGGCCATCACCACCAAAGCGAACACGCTTGTGTTCATGAGCAGAAGTTTTGAGGGGGTCACTGATGTTGCTATAACACCAGAGGATCTCAAAGCTTCAAACCATGTCTCGGTCGGCTGGGGAAAGAAGGAGACCCAGTTTAAGGGCAAGGGAGCAAAAGCTATGCGAGACCCGACTATGCCAGAGAAAATCGACGAGGGGGTTTTGAGCTCGAACGATGACTCCAGAGCTAGTATTAGCTGGAGAGGTGATGGTGCATATCTCGCCATTTCGACTATTGAAGCTGCGACTAGACGAGTCATTCGTGTTTACTCGAGAGAAGGTGTGCTTGATAGCGTCAGCGAGCCAGTGGATGGTTTGGAGGGCGCCTTGAGTTGGAGACCTGCAGGCAATCTCATTGCAGGAATCCAAAGATTTGGTGACCGAGTCGATGTCGTATTTTTTGAGCGCAACGGCCTCAGGCATGGGCAGTTCACGCTTCGACTTACCCCTGAGCAACTGCAAAGATCCGATGAGCACATTAAGCTATCCTGGAACTCTGATTCGACGGTACTAGCTGTATTAATGTCTGATCATACACAATTATGGACTATGGGCAATTACCACTGGTATTTGAAGCAGGTTATCGGCAACGAGACCTTGCTAGCAGCCAGCCCTCTGGTCTGGCACCCAGAAAAGCCCTTGCAGCTTCTGACAGTAGGCCCAGGTAAGTTTCCACTATTGTTGCGAGAGGAACTGTTGTTGCTAACGACTCTTCAGACTCTGTAAGCATAATCGACTACGTTTTCTATACAGCCCGCTCTTCGACCGCACCACCAAACGATCATGGAATAGTTGCTGTTATTGATGGCAAATCCATCGGAATCACACCTATCCGAACAGCAAATGTTCCTCCCCCTATGGCTTTGCATGACCTCGAGATACAATCAAATGCTATCGATGTAGCTTTCAATTCAGATGCATCACTAATTGCCGTCCTCCACCAAGATGGAATCTCGGTCTTTAAATGGAGTAGCGTCGCTGTATCTGCTGCTGCTCCGGAGTTAACCGGCAGAGTGACTTTCCAGAGATCGAATTTTTTGAAAGCCACATACCAGCAAGTCACGTTCGCGGGTGAAAACCAAGTACTGGTGCTCCAAAGAGATGAGACAACTCAAAAAATTGTCCGGTATGGCTTCAATGATGATACTGGAAGGATGGAGGAAGTGCCGTCAAACGATCGCCCTTCGTCGGTCATGTTTACTTTATCAAGCTACTTCAAAGACGGACTGGCACACCCCTTCGTCCAAGACAGAAAGGGAGAAATACACAGTGTTGTCGCTGGAGATCACTCTCTATCTCACTGCAACTCTCCCTCGTATTTGCCCTGGGTTGAGATTGCTGCTGGCGATGACGAGATAGCCTTTGGCCTATCTAGCAGTGGCCATTTGTATTCAAATTCCCGATTGCTGGTCAAAAATTGCACATCCTTTCTTCTCACTCCCGCCCATCTCGTTTTTACAACTACTACACATCTTCTCAAATTCGTCCACATCACCAATGTCAATGGTATGTACTCGACTCCAAACTTTGGATTACAGTAATAACAGTAAACCAGATCTCGAAGTTCCTCCCGATAATCCAGAAATAGACGAGCGATGTAGAAGTATCGAAAGAGGAGCTCGGCTTGTGACAGCAATGCCAACATCTCTCAATCTCGTCCTGCAAATGCCTCGGGGTAACCTCGAGACCATCTATCCTCGGGCGATGGTAGTTGCAGGAATTCGGAAGCTCATCGAGGAAAAGAATTACAAGCGAGCTTTCACTCATTGCAGAACGCAGAGAGTGGATATGAACATTTTATATGATCATGCGCCAGAGCAGTTCTTGATTAGTGTACCGCTATTCATCGACCAAGTGAAGAAGATTACCTACATCGATCTCTTCCTGTCTTCACTTAGGTAGGCAACCAGACAACTGTTGATCGGCATTGCTAACAGGAAACAGAGAGGAAGATGTCACCCAGACTATGTATAAGGATACAAGAGCTGTCCGACATCTTGCTAAAGACATTTCGAACACGAACGGTACGACTGGTATCACATCTGAAACAACTTTTGGAAAAGTCTCCAAGGTAAATCGGATCTGTGATGCATTCCTCGAAGTGCTGAAAACTCGAACCGCCACAAATCTACAAAATATCATCACTGCAAACGTATGCAAATCGCCTCCAGCCCTTGAAGATGGCTTGCTGGTTGTTGCTCAACTTATGCAAGACGATTCAGCTATGGCTGACAAGGCCGTCGAGCACATCTGCTTCTTAGCAGATGTCAACAGACTCTACGATAACGCACTCGGCCTATACGATCTAGATCTCGCTCTCCTAGTTGCACAGCAATCACAAAAGGATCCCCGAGAATACCTCCCCTTCATGCAGACCCTCCAAGAAATGACCGAACTCCGTCGACGCTTCAGCATCGACGACTACCTCAGCCGGCATACAAAAGCTCTAACACACCTCCACGCTTTAGACGCCTTCTCCGAGCTCCAAGCCTACACCCAAAAGCACGCTCTCTACCAAGCAGCCCTCTCCCTCTACCGCTACAAACCTACCCAACACGATTCTCTAGCTCTCCTTTACGCCTCCTACCTCGAAACGAAATCCTCCTTTAAAGAAGCAGCACTCGCCTACGAATCACTGCACAACTACGAGAAAGCCACCTCCTGCTACCTCGCCTCCGGTCCCTCTTCCTGGCGCGAAACTCTCTTCTGCGCCCTCTCCCAAACACCTCCTCTCTCAGGTCCAAGCCTCACAGATCTCGCAACCTCCCTCTACGATGCCCTGCTCGAAAGCAAAGACTACTTCTCGGCCGGCACCATTCAGCTTGACTACCTCTCCTCCATCCCCAACGCCTGCCGCGCCTACTGCAGAGGCTACTTCTTCTCCGACGCCCTGCACCTCCTAGCCCTGAAGCAGCGTCCGGAACTCCTAGAAGAAGTGATCGACCCCGTTCTAGGTGATGCGCTCGCCTCCTCCACGGAGCTTCTCGCCGAATGCAAAGCGCAGCTCCACGCCCAAGTCCCGCGCATCCGCGAGCTGCGCGCCAAAGCCCTGGCGGACCCACTGGCCTTCTACGAGGGCGAGAAGGGCGGCGACGGCGACCTCCCCGACGATTTATCTGTAGCTGCTAGTTCCAGAGTGAGCACGAACCGTAGCTTATTCACACGCTATACGGGGAAGGGAAGCCAGGGGCAGAGTATCGGGACGGCCGGGACGGGGGTGAGTCGCGCGACGAGCAAGAACCGGCGGCGCGAGGAGCGGAAGAGAGCCAGGGGCAAGAAGGGCAGCGTGTACGAAGAGGAGTACCTGGTTGCCAGCGTTGGGCGTCTCATAGAGCGAGTCGAGAGCGTGAGGGGAGATGTTGGGCGCCTGGTGACGGGTCTGGTGAGGAGGGGGATGTGGGAGCGGGCGAGGGCCGTGGAAAGTGCGCTGGCGGACGTGGTGGGCATGTGTCAGGCGTGTGTGCCGGAGGTGTTTGGAATCGGCGTGCCGGCGGTGGAGATGCTGCCGGCGGTGGATGAGAATGTGTATCGGCCTGTTGGGGGCGATGCCGTGCTGGCGGAGAGTTTGGACGCCGCGGGTAAGCGTAAGGAGGCGCCTGATATCAAGGCGTTTGAGAGGCTTTCTCTGCTTGGGAATTAGGGGGTCGGGGGTTGGATCAGAGAGGAGGTTTGATGGTTGGGCGTTGAGTACCTAGGTGTGGTTATAGAAATGCAATTTTATGCCTGGATATATCGGGTCAACATAGGTGTAGAATGCATATCACGCCCGCTGCTGAATGTCCTTGAAAGTGCTGAAAGTTGGCCCGGCAGTAAGTACAAGCAAATGTTTCATCAACCGGCTGAGTCTTGCAATGCCCTCGGATGTCTGGACCCACCGACCCATTAGCCTTCCAACTCCTTTCTTATCAACACATCAATCCCGATCCATATCACGCTGCTGAGAGCAGAGGCTAATGTTTCAAACGACTAAGTCGTTGTGAACGATCGGTTCCATATAATACATTTTCCATACCGAGAAAAGATAGTCTACTATCTATCACGCGGCTGAGTTCTGCAACGCCCACAATGCCCAAGATGCTATACAGTGCTCGGCACTTCTCTCTTTTCTGGATTTTATACAATTCTCACGCCGCCATGGGCGTAGCATCCACCTTCTCCATGCCCGCCCCCTCCAGAGCCAAGTTTCGCTTACTGGCGATGACCTGCCCAATTTTCTCCAGCATCTCGGGCGTGAGGGTTCCCTTACCCAGCTTCTTCCTCTCCTTCCGCGCTTTGCGGTTCGCTTCGTTCAGCGGCGTGCGCATCTTCTTCACTAGCTTCTTCCGCGCTTCCTTCTCCTCCTCCTCCCTCTCCTTCCGCGCAATGTACTCCGGCTCGTGGCGCGTCCGGAATACCGAATACTTATTTCGCAGTTCGTCGATCACGCTCCCCGGCATTGGGGGCGTCAGCAGGCTCGGCACGAACGTCTTCGCGTCGACATCCTGCGGGAGCGTGTCAACCTCGCAGTCCACGTGTTCCTTGGGCGCGGTTTTGGGGAAGGGCACTTTGATGTTCAGGCCGGGGATGATGCGGATCCAGTAACCTTTTTTTTGGTTGGGGATACTACAATACTTGCTGACGAGCTTCTTGACGATTACGTCACGGACGACGCCCGTTTCTGGGTCTGGGAGGGGGTGCACGAGGCGGACGGATTTCAGAGAGATCGGTTGCTCGATAGACCGAATGAGGCGTTTGTCGGGGGCTTCTTCTGGGATCATGTAGGAAGGGACTGAAATGTCCATCTAGCGTTTACACGTTAACAAAAGCTCAATTGTGAAGAAAAATTTTCTTGATTTGGAGATCCAGTCAAAACATACCATGTTGAGTCCTTCCACGGTGCACTCAGCCCGTTTCATATCGATCTCGGTCACCTTGCCAATCTTTCCCTTGTCCCTCCCCTCCAGCAGCACCACCCTGTCCTGCTTCGCGAGGTTCAGCCGCTTCCCGCCCCAGAAGTTCAAAATGTCCCATTTCTCCTTGCCGTACAGCGTCCTGCCCTGCATCCTCTGCATATCGACTGTTCCGTACGAGTCCTTCATATCACCCACATCCCTCCTAGGCGCCAGCGGGCCCAGCTCATAGTCCTCCCTCCTGGAAATCCTCGCGGCTTTCAGCGTTTTGATCTCGTCTTTCCGGTGCACTTGGTTCTGTTCCCGGTTCGTCCTCCACGCATCCCGCTTGAATTTGTCTTTCTTTTTCGCCAGCCGGCGGGCGGCCTGCTTCTCCGCCATGATCGTGTGCTTAAATACCTTCTGCATGGTTGCAGAGGGGAGGTCGGATTGGGCGTAAGGGGGGGAGAAGAACCTCGGGGTCGTGAGGGTGTGAAGTTGCAGCTTTTTTGGATTGATCTTCGAGCTTCGAGCTTGGCGCGCTAAAGCATGGGTCTGATGGGCACGTGACTATTATTCAAGTGATTTCAAGGGGAACAGGGGAGGAAGATCTTGATTTGCAGCATTTACGAGTTTTGGACTGTGCTACAGTATGCAAGTGCAGATCGGTGATCGGTAGTAGGTAGGAGGTAGGAGGTAGGTACAGTAGGAAAGACGTTGTGGTACTGTAGGGCTGAAGTATCAGGAGTCCTGCAGAAACGTAAACAGCGGTTGGCTATTCGACACAGATAAACATAGGTATATATTTCATAATATATCTATATCATATATCTATAAAGAATACAAATTGAAATCTACACACAGTACAAGGTAGAGTAGCTACCTAGATGAACTGCCAAGACTGCGCCTCACAATACGCGGCAACAAGACTTCGGAACCGATCGGCGCATTGCCCCCCTATACCACGGTACAAGCCTAAGTATTACCCCTCGAGGGTGCCTCAAAAGTCTAGTTTCCACTTTAAAACCCCTGGTTATCCTACCCTCGAGGGGTAATACTTACGCCT